TAACGAATTCTTTGATTACACTAGGATTTAAGGTAATTTACGTTAACTGCTTATTTGATATTTATGTTTTAATTAATTTAGCGATAAAGAAATGTAATTTAAATTACGAATAGGAATTTAGTTGATAAGAATTTAACTGATTTAAATTTAAATTGTGTTGGTAAAACTAGACTGGATCACAAAGTGGGTGTTGCAGGCTTGGGCCTGCCCACTTGCGCACTTTCAGCAGAGGGCTGCACTATGTAGGTATGTGAGACACAGGGTGCACTATGTTGTTGGCACTGACGTGCATGAATTTGTACGGAATTGTTTGGACCAGAATTCACAAGAATTTTCAGCGTGGACGCTAGGTGGCAACGCTGGTTGAAATTTTCACAGTTTTCTTGATTAGATTTGTTCACTTTCTTGATTAGACTTCTGTTTGATGCTCTATGATGAATGTGGAGAGCTGATGAAAATCTTGACAATCCTGTGGCGTTGGTGGTAGAAGGAGTAAACTCAACTTCAATTTTCCAAGATGCAGATGAAAATCTGGGAGGAAAATTTTCCTGGGCCGTAAGCCACGTGAAGGAGTAAACTCGACTTCAATTTTCCAAGATGCAGATGAAAATCTGGGAGGAAAATTTCCCCGGGGCCGTCAGCCACGTGAAGGAGTAAACTCGACTTCCAAGAATTTTCCTATAAAACGCACTACTTTATAAGTGGGGTTTTTCCACGAAATAATAGTAAAACTTACTTCCTTTAATCAACAGGAACCCACTGGTAAAAGAAAACCTTATAAAAGGCTGAGGATGTCTGATATTTTCCACGATTTGGTTTGGGTAGATCTCTGGGTTTAAATAAAATACGCTCAGGAGAGAACGATCTTCACACGGCCAAGGTTCAAAACGGAAAGACCGAATAATCGAAATGCATCAGGCAGCCAGGCCTGTTTATCGAAAAAGTGTGGAACCAGAGTTGCTCAAAAAGGATTTATCGAACACGTCTTTTCAGTGTTGTAAAAACCGTAATTATTTAAATTTGGCTCTGCCATTTTAATTCCTGGCGGCAACTTCAAAAACTGGCGGGAATTTTAAATTGAAGTGGGAAATTTAAAAAATGAAAATATTAACGACAAGCGCCCTACAAATACCCCCCCACCAAAATCACACTTTGGGGATGAAATCAACAAAGGGTGATCAGCGCTTGGAGAAGATAAATGTAGCGAAAATTTAATGTTTCGACGATTTTGGGAAGAAAATGGTGTCAGAGGTATCATAGTGGTTATTAAAAGGTACATCCGGTATGTTAGTCAAGTCTGGTTTACGAATGATTGGGCAATCAGGAGTGGATCCTAATTGGAGATGTCTCTCTGACCATTTTCGGAACCACCAGACTCGCGACCTACGGAATTATTGTCAAGTGGTAGTCCAGAATTATCAAAATTATTCTGCAACTGTACAGAATGTTGTGGACTGTTCGAATTGATGTTAAGCCCTGTTGTGATAGCTTGTGTTAGCTTATCAGTTTGATCTTTCATAGACCTAGCTAAAATGACTGACTGCTCTGACATGGCTGCAGCCATCGCTTCCGCTATAGCTTTCTTAATGGAATCAGCCATGCTTTGTTGCTCTGCCTGCGGCAGTGGAGCTGTGTTATCCCCAGGATTTACCATGTTTAGACTTGTATCCTCCAGTCGCTTGGTTTGTGATCGGGTCAAAACCGATATGGGGGGAACGGGGGTTTTACCTACTCCTTTTGACGTAGATGCACCAGAACTATCGGATGGAATACCAGTCAAGTGAGTCAGGGCCTCTTTGCACACAGGGCACAATGTCCTTCCTGGTTTGTTTAGACACTTTTGATGGAAACTGTGTCCACAATTTGTTATATAAAGTTCAGACTCCGACTGAATAATATCAGAGCAACAGTGACAATGAATATCGTCAGTGCGCGGTACTGGCATTTCAACACCGAAATTCTAAATGTAATTATAGACAAATTATTTAAGCCTATTAAAATAAAAATTATTAAGTATTATAAATGGAAGAAATTTAATAAAAATGTGGATATAAAAAAGGTAATCAATCATAAAAGTTTGGAAGCCATGCAAGCAATTCAGATAGTTTAGAGTCAAACATCAGCCAGGTATTACAAGGGATTTGAAAAGTAGAAAAGAAAAGGTTAGGGAATTCGATCATAATCCGATGATCGGCAGGTGTAACTCTTCGAATGTCGCCTTCAAGGTATAGATTGTTGAGTAAATTAAGCAATCATACGCGGACACGAAGTTCAGCCGAAGAAGGCAAAAGACAACATCTTCCTGAAACTCACGATCGCAACGTCGATGAAAATTTTAAAATCCTCAAACGAAAGGAAAAAAAATTTATTTTAATGGACACGAAGCACAGCCAAAGCCAAAAAGGCAAACGGCAACAGTTCAACTTTCTGCCACTCACGATCACAATAAAATAAACCTGTAGGGTATGCAAGCTAAATAAGTGTCAGTAGACGGGATGGCCGTAGCAATTAAATCCACGTAAAAACCAATAAACAACGCTTCCTAATCACAATTTGCCTGCACACGATGATTTTTAAGTAAGATTTCGGAGTCATAAAATTAATTATAACACATCCAGATACTCCAACAAAAAAATTATGTTCAACTGCTAGTCTAGGCAATAAATAAATTATTGTATACACGGAACTAAACAGCTAAACTAAAAAAAGGGAAAATGAAAAACAATAAAAACTCCAAAGTCAGAAATAGAAACCTAGTCAGATGGAAATGACTACCTTTACAAAATATTTGTAATCGGGCTATGCCGGTTTAGCCCCACGTTGGGCGCCAAAATAAGATTATTATATATAATATAATACTGTAGCATATCACGAATGATTCTAACAGCAACGAAAGATGGTGGGTGTAGCTTCAAGTGGGGCACGCGCTGGTTCCGGCTCTTGTTTCGTCGGTAAAGGGAGTGAGTTTCCAATTTGATCCACAGTGCTACTTGCTCGCATATGTATATAAAACATCCTATTTAAATTCGCGTGCGAACTGACTTTGAGGTTAATTGTAGGGGGACAGAACTAAGATTGGGGTAAAGAGGGAGGGAATACCTGAAAAGAAGGGTGCTGCCTAGATGGAATGGCAGCAGCTGATGTGTGTGTGTCGGTGTCAGCAGCGAAGATGTTATTTGCCGCTGACATTGCCCACCCTACCATGATCACCACAGCCGCATAACCTGACACAGGTTGGTGATCCCTTCGACACACGCCTAACTCCTAATCATTATCATCGCTGCAAGCTTCCATTAGAAAAAAATTTAGCAATTCATGTTTATAATAGGTTTAATACAAGAAAAGTAATACTAACAAAGGTGATCATTAAAGTTACAAAGTTGGGGATCATATAAAGTTTATGCTAAGCTCATATTAAATGAGTATATTTAAACCAAGCAAGAAAATTTAATTTAAATTAAAAATTGATTTAAAAAAAATAATTAATTGTAATTGAATTCACTGAGCAAGTATTTTAGTCATGGGGGAATTTGTTTTAAAATATCAAAATCATTGGGATATTATAGTATACAGTCAATCAAAAATGTAGCATTACGACCGGAGCCGATCACTTACCCAAAATATCCAACGTTGAAAGCGCTTTCAATATGTTGCATTATTGGCTGTAATTATGTTTATAAATTTGAAAACTGCATTTCAATTGACTGAATGTAAAGATAAATTAGGGAAAAGGGGCTTAAACACTTGCTCTTATGACGAGATTTGCTTACTGCATAACGAATTCTTTGATTACACTAGGATTTAAGGTAATTTACGTTAACTGCTTATTTGATATTTATGTTTTAATTAATTTAGCGATAAAGAAATGTAATTTAAATTACGAATAGGAATTTAGTTGATAAGAATTTAACTGATTTAAATTTAAATTGTGTTGGTAAAACTAGACTGGATCACAAAGTGGGTGTTGCAGGCTTGGGCCTGCCCACTTGCGCACTTTCAGCAGAGGGCTGCACTATGTAGGTATGTGAGACACAGGGTGCACCATGTTGTTGGCACTGACGTGCATGAATTTGTACGGAATTGTTTGGACCAGAATTCACAAGAATTTTCAGCGTGGACGCTAGGTGGCAACGCTGGTTGAAATTTTCACAGTTTTCTTGATTAGATTTGTTCACTTTCTTGATTAGACTTCTGTTTGATGCTCTATGATGAATGTGGAGAGCTGATGAAAATCTTGACAATCCTGTGGCGTTGGTGGTAGAAGGAGTAAACTCAACTTCAATTTTCCAAGATGCAGATGAAAATCTGGGAGGAAAATTTTCCTGGGCCGTAAGCCACGTGAAGGAGTAAACTCGACTTCAATTTTCCAAGATGCAGATGAAAATCTGGGAGGAAAATTTCCCCGGGGCCGTCAGCCACGTGAAGGAGTAAACTCGACTTCCAAGAATCTTCCTATAAAACGCACTACTTTATAAGTGGGGTTTTTCCACGAAATAATAGTAAAACTTACTTCCTTTAATCAACAGGAACCCACTGGTAAAAGAAAACCTTATAAAAGGCTGAGGATGTCTGATATTTTCCACGATTTGGTTTGGGTAGATCTCTGGGTTTAAATAAAATACGCTCAGAAGAGAACGATCTTCACACGGCCAAGGTTCAAAACGGAAAGACCGAATAATCGAAATGCATCAGGCAGCCAGGCCTGTTTATCGAAAAAGTGTGGGACCAGAGTTGCTCAAAAAGGATTTATCGAACACGTCTTTTCAGTGTTGTAAAAACCGTAATTATTTAAATTTGGCTCTGCCATTTTAATTCCTGGCGGCAACTTCAAAAACTGGCGGGAATTTTAAATTGAAGTGGGAAATTTAAAAAATGAAAATATTAACGACAAGCGCCCTACAAATGGTGATATCAAGTTGGATTATTTAATATATTATATTATATTGTTATATTTTTATTTAAAAGTTAAACTTTATAATACTGAAGTGGTGGTAGAGTTTCTAGGAACAAGTGAGGCTGTCATCGCCCTCAGCTTCGTCAGCTGCAAAAAAAATAAGAAGAACTTAAATTAATATCCTCTTTAACCAGTTGTAAAATAGTTATCACTTACAAAGTATTTGCAGGCCAAACATCAGAGCGAATCCTGCCACGGCGGCCACAAGGGCTCTCCAGCCGGCGTGGCTCTCAGTGAGGATCTCGAAGAAGACCACATAGAGCAGCGTTCCGCAGGCGATGCCCTGGAGCACTCCGGAGGGCAGGCTGGGCTGACCCGCGGCCACCTGCTGGCTGATGCCCAGACCCACGCCGATGCCGATGGGCGTGACAATGGAGAAGGTCACCAGGTACAAAATAGCCAGCGAGCTGCGGGTTCGAGCCACCAGCAGCTCCATGCCGACGCAGAAGGCCAGCACCAGTTTGTGGGCGGCCACAGCTCCGAACATGAACCACACGGTGCTCACAGTGCCCTCCAGTCCAATGGCCATGCCCTCGAATAGTTCGTGGAGGGAGAGGGCCAGGATAATTCCCAGACCACGGGCCGAGGATCCTTCGCCGGAGGGCACGGGCATGTGCGAGTGGCCGTGGTGATCCCTCGGCGCCTCGGGTTCGTGCTCCAACTCCTTCACTTCCGGTTCCGGTTCCGATACCTCTTTCGGTTGAGGCTTGAACAGAACACTGTGCCGGATGCTGCGTCCCCTTTCGAAGGCCAGACTGGCCACCGACTCCTTGCGACTGAGCTTCCGCTGGTGGCGACGCACCACATTGGTCATCAGCTCGTCCAGGGCGTACATCAGGAAGAAGCCCGTGCAGAGGAGCATTTCCGGCAGGGCAAAGGGCGTGGGGGCCAGGAAACCGCACTGCTGGAGAGCTTCCACCACCTCGATCACCTCGGGCAGCATGTGCAGGAAGGTGGTGCAGATGAGCACACCGCCGCCAAAGAAGAGCAGGCAACGCACCACCGCCGACGAGCGGGTCTCCTCGGGACTCTGCTTGGTCCAACCGAAGCATCTGTCCAGGATGTAGGGCAGACTGCCGCAGAGCACGGTGATCACCACGAGCACCACCATGGCGACTATTTTGGCCACCAGCAGCGCATGGTGATCCACGTCGATCTGCGCTTGGTCCTTCGACATTTTCACCGCACCGCTCATCTTTACCTCCCGAGTTGCGAACTTCGACTGAGCTGGCTGGAATTCGCGAGCAGACCAATGTTTTATATCGGCAGTCATATATCAGCGGGAAGTGATTGAAATCTGATCGCTGATTGATACGCGGATTCACGGGCAGACAACGGGCCACCGTCGCCCCAGCGAATTGTTATCTCACTCGATGTCCCATGGACAGGTGGCTTTCCCCGATAACCGAACCATTTCTATAAGGTTCTTTGCGTATTTGCCGATTGAAGGGAACTTCGGAAGTATTGCCTAAATCGGGCTATTTTTATTTTGATTGATACACTTAGCAAAAAATATGTTGTAAATTAATTGGGGGGAAAAAATATAGAATTTTTTATATCTCAAAGATAAATTAGCTCTCGAATTTGCCTAAATCTTCCGATCCATCGCTGTTTTCTACTTAATAAAATATGTATACTTAACCCATTTTAAAGTCGATTTTTATACCCGTTACTCGTAGAGTAAAAGGGTATATTGTATTCGTGCAAAAGTATGTAACAGGTAGAAGGAAGCGTTTCCGACCCCATAAAGTATATATATTCTTGATCAGGATCACTAGCCGAGTCGATCTAGCCATGTCCGTCTGTCCGTCTGTCCGTCTGTCTGTCTGTCCGTCTGTCCGTATGAACGCTGAGATCTCGGAAACTATAAAAGCTAGAAGATTGGCATTTTGCATGCAGATTCTGGGAGTTCCTACGCAGCGCAAGTTTATTTCAAAAAGGTGCCACGCCCCCTCTAACGCCCACTAGCCCTCTCTATCGCCCACAGTTTTGAAGCTATTATGAAAATAGTAACTGATATGTATTTGTTTCGTCAATACATATCGATTGGCCAAGTAAAAGTTTGCCACGCCCACTCTAACGCCCGCAAAACCCATTTAACGCTTAAACCTGTCTAGCGCCTACATTTCCGCCTTTCATGGCCAGTAGTACCAATATCTTGGGGTAGATGGCTCAATTCAATATACAATAGCGCCATCTATTCAGATGGTTAATTTGAACTTTTTGTCCTTTTTTTCTGTGGTCACACTAATTCACAATATGTTATTGCAAATTTTAAATTATTTGAAAAGGGCGCGCATTTTGTCTCTTTTTGCTCGTATTCGTTTTTCACAAGTGCATTCACCTGCGCTAGAGAGAGACGGAAGATGTGCTAGGCAGAATTGAAAGTTTTAGAAGGCCTCCACGTGGAGTTCCCTGGGTAAAAAACGGGAGCTAATTCCAGCTTCGAAAAACAAAAAAGGAGGCATATTTCTATTAAGTTGTTTAGCTGAGTAACGGGTATCTAATAGTCGAGGCACTCGATTATAGCGTTCTCTCTTGTTTTTAATATTTATTTTTCTATATTTTCATTGGCACTCGGTGGTTAAAAGTAATGACTAAACTTATAGATATTCGAATATCCGCTAAGGACATGTGAAATGGCTTTTGCCCCTGGCTTCTCCAACTAAAATAAAAGGAAAAGTTATTGGCTAAGAACTAAGATGGCATACAAAAGCACTCACTTGCTATCTGGAGACCAAACATCAGGACAAATCCTACGACAGACGAGAGTAGGACCCGTAAGCCGGCATGGTTTTTGGCCACGATTTCAAAGAAGACCACGTAGATCAGAGTACCGCAGGCGAGGCCCTGAAGAATTCCCGAAACAGTGCTCGGTTGATTAGCCTCGGCGGATTCGCTGACAGCAATTCCGATGCCCACGCCAATGGGGGTTACAACCGAGAAGACCAGGAGGTAAACGACGGCCAGCAGCCATCGAGTGTGTGCCATCATGATCTCCATGCCGATGCAGAAGGCCAGCACCAGTTTGTGGACTGCAATGGCGCCGGTCATGAACCACACCGTGCTCACACTCATCTCCAGACCAATGGCCATTCCGCCAAAGAGTTCGTGCAGGGAGAGGGCCACGATTATTCCCAGGCCACGCAGCCAGTTGGGCTCCTTGGGGGTTTCTTCTTCTCCAGTTTGGACTACCACCTCCTCGCCCGCCTCCTTAATGGTCACCACATCCACAGCTACCTCTCTTTTCCTCCTTTGCTGTCGTCGACGGACCAAGAAATGCATAATTTCCTCGATGCAGTACATCAGATAGAAGCCGGTACAGAGGAGGACCTCCGGAAGGCCGAAGGGAGTGGAGGCCAGCATCCGGCAATCCTGGAGAGCATTCACCACCTCCACCACCTCCGGCAGCATGTGAATAAAAGTGGTGGCTATTAGCACACCACCGCCAAAGTTCAGGAGACACAGCACCACCTTGAATTCCCGGGCATTGTTCTCGGGTCGCTTTGTCCACTTGTAAAAGCGATCGAGGATATAAGGAATAAAACAGAAGATCAGGGTCACCAGCAGGAGCACCACAATGGCCACGATTTTGGCCACTATCAAGTGTTGGTCTGCCATTGCGATTGAAGTAACTGGCCCACTTTCCACCCATTCAGTTTTTATAAGCAGTTCGAATTGATATCTATTTAAAGATATCAGATAAATTGGCAAATATTTACCCATATTAAGGGCTTAGGGGGTTCGACTTAAGGCGGTCGGTCGAGCCTAGTGGTAAAAAGGTGTGAGGTAAAATTTCGGCATGATATCTTTTTTCGAACATTATCTTCATTTCCCTTTGGCACATGTTTGTACTTTTGCGTTTAATCCCAATGTTCCCGGAATGATATCATCGGCCTGTTTTGGCTGCATTAGATTGTCAACGGAAGTTTTCGGACTGAAAATTCAGCTGGCGAAAACAAAAAATTAGTTGCCAACGCCAGGCAAAGCCTTGTGCACCCAGGAATCTATGTGCTATCATCAGTTGAAGCCGACAGTTTCACCTGATAACTTCGAAACTGAGTTATCGTCGCCAAATGGTCAATACTAACATATGTAGCTTGTGAGTCAGATTAAGTACTCGGGGGTGACTATCTGTGAGTGGGCGGGGGAAATTGTGAAATAAATCATTCGTAGAATATCTTTTAATAATTTATTGAATACATAAAGCCCTAAATGTTTTACAATGCAAGTGGATATAACAATGAATTTGTAGATCTTGGCAATCAAACAACTTTAAATATTCCACACATTCTTTTTAAAGGAAAGTAACTACCTTTCAGGATACTATACTTTCTAAGCTCTTTAGCGGATGCCATATGCGAAAAAGGATATTGGTTAACCACGTAATAGCCATCTGATATATATAAAGATTCCCACTTGATCCACCAATTGGATCATTTCATACCTATAAAGCAGAGATAGTCATAACTTGTTGAAAATAAATGTTGAGTACATCATCCATTAGTTTATTAAGTATTATAAGCCGTAAATGTTTTACTGTAAAAATTATCATTGGCATTTATTACACAATATTATGGCATTTAAATTTAAAGTAATTACTATGACTTGAGTTTGTTCTTCTTTAATTTATTTTTTCATGATGTACACGGGTGTGAAGACAAATGAATTTGATATTAATGTGAATATGCAATACATGAGTTTTGATATTTATGGAAGTTTCAGAGATTGTTGAAGTCATCGGGCTGTCTCAAAAGTATCTTCGAAAACAATGGAGCACGGGATTTTATAGGCGTCTAATTTAGACGATTGGATGACAGTTTAATGTTATTGTGACTTTGGATAATCATTTCAAGTTTGGTTTGCTCTCTTCTTGTGTGTCCTCTCGAAAACCCTCCATTGCAGTTGACAGCCATTCAACATGATTCAGTACTTGCTTCCAATTCCAATAATCTCCTCCCTGGCCCAACCCATTCACGACTGCTTGGGGTGTTGGACAGGAGGTGGTGGCGCCGGCTTGAAGCACTGCAGCAGGAAGGCTGTGTAGATCACAAAGGCTACCGCCAGGGCAATCAGGGCATACATAAATATGTTCAGCTCGGGCTGGCGGAAGCGGTTCTTGCGCAGCCACTCCAGCACCTCGTCCTCGGATAGAAGGTCGCCTGGAAGGATTAGTGGTATGGTGTTATATGGAATCTTCTTTTCTTCTCAAAGTTCTTAGCTTACCCCTGTAGATACTGGGAAAGCGACGGCGGAAGTAGACCATCGCCGGCAGCTTGGTGACGCCCCACTTCTTGGCATATCGCGAGTCGGCCATCTTAACAAATGTTATATCCAGATTATCTGTCTCGCTGTCAATATTCTCCAGTTTCTCCAGAGCTGCAGTACTGTCCGGCTGATTGTGTTCATCTAAATTGATTTAGATTAAAAGTTATTAAAGAGAATTCTTAAAAATAATTTAGTTTCACTCACAGAAGAACACAGCCAAGAACTCGTTCTCTTCCAGTAGTTTGTCAAGCATTTTGCGGTTAACTTCTTCTATTTCGTTTTTGATTTCGAACACATCCTGTGATGTCAACCAAGTAATCACCTTATCGTGTTGGTGCAAATCTCCATCATACAGGACTGGCACTTGTTTTCTAAATTATTATACATGATATAAAAATTTCTTAAATCTTAAAGTAAAAGTAAAACTTACCGGAAATATACCAGGGAAGGTATATTGACAATTTCGTATGTTTTGGCTGCCTGCATACTGGCAATCTTAACAAAGTCAATGCCAAACATATCGGCTTCGCCATCGATCTCCTCCAACTCTTCCAAAATCTCCTCGCACTCGGCACAGTCATCATCATCTAAGCGCAGAAGGGGTAGAGTCTTTAGAATCACTCTTTTATTTCCTCAAGGACAGTACTTACAAAAGAAAACCACCAAAAGGGTGGACTCGGCCATCAGACGTTCCAACATGCGCTCGTTGACCTCCTCGATTTCATCGGCCAACTCACGGTTATCATCATCGATTAGCCATTCCAGTACTGACTGCTCGTTTTGCAGGTCGCCCTCAAACAGCAAAGGATTTCCATTTCTACATAATATATTAAGTTAGCAAAAGTTACACTCAACATATAAGACATTTACCTGAAATAAACCAGAGCCGGGAAGGTCTTGATCGAGTAACGCTTGGCCAGCTGAGGATCCTGTATCTTGACCATATGAATTCCAAACACATCGCATTCGTCATCGATCAGTTCCAAGCCCTCCAATATCTGATCGCATATGTTGCAGTTGATTTTGTCTGCCAAAAACAGAAAGCAAGTCAGTTATCCGGCAAACATAAGTACTTAGAATTTAGTGCCAAGCTTAAGAATCGGTTAGCGATAGTGTGAGAGGCAAAGAAAACGCCGTAACAAAAAGGTATTCCCGTCCAAACTAAATTCCAGTGAATTCCGGACTTTTCGATATTAAATTTGATCCTTTTTATGAACTCAAATATTTCATTAACAGCGAACGAAAGACATGTAGAAATCCAATTTAGTTTGGTCGTAATACGATGGAAGCCTGGCAGTTAAGTGCAGTCAAGAATCAATTCTGGACATTGAACAGAGCTCCGGTGGAGGGTTAGACGTGGTTAGGGCTTGAGTTGCTTATTTTTGGTGCACGTGGAATACGGAAGGAATACCTTGTTTTTCGATACGTTTTCTTTTACGTGAGATGTAGTTTTGTACGAATTGGCTGGATGAGTGTTTTGTGGATTTGGTGGTGGTCAGGTTGCTTTCTTTAAGACTAGAGGGGGAGCAGAAACTGCGGCAGAAAGCGGGTTGCTTCCCATTGCGCTCAGGCGGCACTGAGGACGGTACGGTTGAGGTACAGGTATCGGTATAAGTCAGGGATAAGTTTTTGTGGTTTTTGGGGCGGGGGATATAACAATTCAGAATGTGTGAGATCATGAGAAAGTGAGTATCATGGGAAACAAGTGTGACCAATCGAGTCGAGAGCTACTCACAGAAGTACACGGCTAGGTACTGGGTCTCCTCCACCATGGTCTCAAGCATTTGGCGTGTGATGAGCTCGATGCGATCCTCGGTCTTCTGTGTGATTAGCCACTGGAGCACCTCCTCCTCCTCGCTCAGTTCGCCTGGGGGAATCTCTCTTTAATATCCAGTTACCAGGAACTTGGGGTCTCTCTTACCCTCAAAGACGTTGGGTATTCCTCCCTCGAAGTAGACCAAAGCCGGATACTCGTGCACCCCGTAGCCATCGGCCACCGAAAAGTCTCTGGTCTTCACAAAGGTAATGCCGTGTTTGTCGCAGTCGTCGTCAATGTTTTCCAGCTCCTCCAGCACCTTGGTGCACTGCTCACAGCCATCCGCATCTGGTTGTCAAAGTGGGTTTGGGGAATATCTAATTATTCAACAAGCACTAAACGGGATGAGGGACAATACAGGGTACTACAGCAAGCACTACACGTATGTGAACTGAAGCACAGCAGAAGTTGGGGGGGAATATGAGATGGCAAACAACTATATAGTACATTTCATAAGTACTGATTCCAAAAACTAAGGTTAACTTTCAGTGGAATCAGTAATTACGATTGGATCAGGCTGGTACACAGAACAGAATATAAAGGAAAGAAACTAATCGGGATTCTGGGAGTGAACATCTAACGTTGAGAATACAAAGAAGGTTTCGGGTGTGACAGAGATATAGAGAAAGAGTCAGAGCAACAGAAAGATAGTGCGAGTTTCTAAGTTCTTTCGGGGTTTATACATTCGCTGTACAAGGTGGAGAGTGTGTGTGGGGTGTACAGTGTTTCTGGCTGTGCTGGGTTATGTGGTTAAACATTCTTGGACTCATTCCAGTTGCACGAGTTCTATACAGAAAGGTGGGCTACCATCCTCTTGCTTGCCGGTCGATGCATCCGGTGGAGCAGCTGCAGCGGCCGGGGATGCCGGCTCCCCCTCGGAACCTGACCCTTGACCCGTTGCGTCCTCCGCCCCACCAGCGGCCGCCTCGGAGGGATCTGCCTCACTGCCGAAGGCGGCAGCGGCGCTGGCTGCTCCGCCCTCCTGCTGGTGCTGATCTCGCTCCTTTTTCAGACGCGCCTTGCGCGCCGCTTTCGAATTGCAAATGTCGCACTTGGTCTTGTTCCCTACGTTTGGTTTTGTGTGGTTCGGTTTGAATTCAGAGATTTCAGAGAGCAACGTCGTAGATAGAAATATAAATAAAGTCTTGTTCGGTTAGATACACAGAGAGCGCTGATAAGAGGCTTAAACTAGATTGATCTAATTGGTTAACTACAATAACACAGAGTTTGCTGCAAACTGTTTGCGCAAAAGCGTGACCATCCATTCTGCACAAAAGTACTTGAGACTCGAATGTAACAAATGTTAATTTTCGACACAATGTTTTTGAATGAACAGCAATTTGGACATTGTACTTTGTGCGAATTGGGATCACCAAACCGATTGCAGCAATGAAAACCTGGTTCCTCAGAGATATTGAGTATTCATCAGTTAAATCAGTGGGTGCTTCCGGCTGCAAACTTACAAAAGTACACGGCTATGGAGCCGGACTCTTCGATCAGATGAACGAGTCTTTCGCCTTCGAGATCTTCGATAACATCTCCACTTGGATCCTTTTGCGTGATCAGCCAAGTAAGGATCTGTTCTTCTTCGTAAAGATCACCTGGAAAGGGGCGAGATTGTATAAAGATTCCTTAGATTATCCTCAGCTCTCTTACCGGCGTATATAACTGGTTCCTTGGAAGTGGGCTTGAAAAAGACAATGGCGGGCAGCGCAAACACTCCGTACTCCTTGGCCATTTGCTTGTCGTCGATCTTGACAAAGTCTATGCCCGCCTTGTCCGCCTCGTCGTCAATGTGCTCCACCTCGGCCAGGACGCGAGGACACTGCTTGCACTCATCGCTATCTGAGGTTAGGTTAGACATAGGTTCATTATAATCCCATATTAATCTAAACCAGTGGTGGCTAGCAGAAACAGCACATGCTTTACAGCGTACGTGTGCGTCGAAACGCTGTCAGCGCAGCGGCAGAGAAACTGCTTATCCCATGGGCCGTGCGCGCTGCCTCTGCTGGCCATCACTGATCTAAACACTCGGAACTTACAGAATATCACGGCCACATAGTCGGAGTTCTTGCGAATCTTCTCGAACATCTTGCGGTTGACCTGTTCGATGTGATCGGTCATCTCCATGTTGGCCGGACTGGTCAGCCAGTCGAGTACCTCCTCCTCGTCGTCGATGTCGCCATCGTAATTGATGTACTTGCCCTTCCGGAAATAAGTTAGACCGGGAGGATTCCTATATCCGTACTTCTTGGCCATCAGTTTGTCGTGCATTTTCACTATATAAATGCCATATTCGGCAGCCTCATCGTCGATTAGTTCGATGTGCCGTAGCACTCGTGGCGAGTCGGGATCATCTTCCTTGTCTGCAATCACAAACGATATTCCAGTCGCATTAGCCATTATATACTATTTAGATTTCTTTTAAATCTTATCTTATAGAAATTATAATTTTGCTTGTTTTTTTTTTTGGGCAGTTACAGTTTTTAGTGGGCGCGATTTAACAAGAGTGTATATGAAAAGTACTCCTAGATTCCTTAGCTTTTACCTAAGACACTGTCCGCATGTTATACTTACAAAAAACAACCGCTAAAAAGTCTTTGGTGCCTATATACTCGAAGAGTTGATCACGATCAATTAGCTGAATGCTTTGGTCGGCCTTCTGTTCGAGTATCCAGTTGAAGACGTCCTGATTGCTGGCAATGTTACCTATGTGTAGAATGTTAGACTGTCGTTAGAGGATCATCATGTTTTTATTCAAAGAAGAAATGTGTGAGCTTTCCATTTGGTGGCACATACCTGTTGGCTGCAGTTTGTCAATCAATCATCAGCTTTATTCTTGAATGTGTATACAAAATTAATGATCGCTTTGTTTATTTTCACCCCCGCCCAAAAGAAATTCGAAATGGGCAATTTGCCAAATCCCCACCAGGTCATAATTAATGGCAACATTTGGTTGCCTATGACTCAAAATAACACGAATCTTTTCAGGGGGAAAGTTGCTTTTGACATGAAATACATCTTTGGGTTTTTGTTTTAAAATAGGTTTTTTAGGCATATTTAACGACTTTGTGTTTGAAATTGTTCAAGGCAAGGAAATTCTGAATTTCAACCAATAAGAGAACCTAAATAAATTGAGTTGGATGGTTTTTATTGAATATTCTTACATTTTCGTTCAAGAGATTATGTTTACAAAAGTGATTTCAGTTTGATTTGCGTTTGATTCTTACAATCTGACAATTTTCAGTGGTGAAAATTAGTTTTACACAAATACATTCGCTTGATCCTGACTTAACAGCTGCTGTTCAACAAAATTTGTTTACATATATGTTGGATTTAGTTACAATTGCGTGTAGAGTGATAGCTTTAGCTTAAGAAAACATAATGATAAAGATTTATAATTCGGTATTTTGCAAATACCGATAACAAAAACAACGGCGAGCGGTACAGAAATCGCTCTCAGAAGAAAACAAATGAAACGAAATGGCGAGCTACATTTTATGCGAGGCCATTGTTCAGCGAGAAATGTTGGATTGGATTTTCGTTTCCATAGATATACAACAAAATTAAGTATACGGCGTGTATGCTGCAACATATCTGATAAAAAAGCTCTGGTTACACAATATATATCGGCCTACGGCTCATAGTGTTGTTATTTCGAAAACAGTTGAAAGCTCTCATCGTTACACGTTTCAGTTAAAATAGTCAACAGTTTGGCACTGTCTGGTGTAAATTGTTTCAAAAAATATTTTATCCGTTTGTTCGTTTCGTTTTGTTTTTGGCTTTGCTCTGCTTGGCTCTTGTTTAAATTAGACTAACTACATAAATGTAAATTGTATATTGTGACAAAAAGAAGTAGTATCAAAAAAGTTTAGACGTTTGTTATTGACAAAAGACAATGGCCGATTGATTTGTTAATAACAAAGTGTGCTGACTAAATATACAAGTGAAAGTTCTCAGAAGTTTGATAGTTGTTTGTTGAAGTAATTGCTTATAGTTTGAACAAAGTTTGTTGAAATCCGTTGACAAAATGCAACAAATGTTTGGTTTAGTTTAGTTATGGATCCTGGGATCCATCTTGAAAATAGTTTAAGCGAAAATATCAACAAAGTTTTAGTTAGTAGGTGTTTTTTCTTGATTAATTTTTAATTGTTTAGGCTTTTGTGTGATTCTGCTACCCGTGGATCTTCTTTTTAACGTGGAACAACGATTATGCGGTGGACTATGATATGATCTGGCACCGGGGATTAATGGGTATCTGGTAGAATAGTAGTGTGCCAGACGATTCAAGGTTAGTGTGAGGGAAAACCCCATTTAACGGACACACAGCCATACGAATTCAGTTATTCAGTTGATTCTTGTCATAGTTGTTGTCTTTTGCAGTCACACATAGATGATGTACATTTAATTATAGAAACCTGTCATTGAAGGTTCTTTGATGGCTATACAGGTTTGAGTTGGTTTTGGTTTTGGTATTGGTTTTGGCTTTGATTTTGGTTTGGTAATTGTTTTATCGGTTGACAACAGTGCGTATACGTGCTACTTTAGTATGGCATATCATTCAATCTCATACAATCACTACATCTAACTGTCTGTGGCTTTTCACATTCAGTTAAACTGTTGCCTTACTCCCACAGTGAGATATCCTGAAAAATGATATCATACAAATTTTTTAGTCGATTTTGGAAAAAATTAATGCCTGCAAGACACAAGAGAGAGAAAAGAGAAGAGAAATAAACAAATAAGGTAACGACCAAATTGTGCGTGAGTGTGTCTGAGTATGATCCAAAATTATCAGGGCAAAAAACAGGACAATGAGTGTTTTGACTTTAAATGGAGTTTGAGTTTGAGTTTGAGTTTGTCTTGACTTGTTTCTAGTGCTAAATGACTACGTTGTGGAGGTTGTCCTAGGCCTACGTACCGGTTTTCACATTCAGCTTGCCGGACTTCTTCGACGACTTCTGCTTGGATACCTTCTCCACTTCCTGGGACTCGTCGTCGTTATCCTTAGAAGCTGGCTTCTTGCCAGCCTGCGGCTTGTTGCTTCCTCCCGAGCGCTTGTTGGCATACGAGACCTTGACCAGGGGCTTGTCATCATCGTCCTCATCATCATCATCGTCGTCGTCCTTGGAGTCCTTGGTGGCCTTGGCCTTGGCCTGCTTCTTGTTCACCACCGGCTTGTTGGAGGACTTCCCGGAGGCCGTCGTTGAGGATGCCGAACCGGCAAACTGGAAGTTACCGCCGCCGCCAATCGGACGCTTGCCCTGATCTCCCTCGCTGTGTCCGATCCGCTGGGCCGTCATCTTAGGAACTTTCGTTGACTTCTCCAATTTGGTTGGACAGCATTGGAATGGTTTGTAATCGTTGGGCACGAAATTGTTGCCGCGCTTAGCTGAATGGCCGTCATGACCCAATCCAACATAGAAACATTCGTCATCTGTGTGAGCAAACAAACAAAAACATTTTGTCAGATTGTTTAATTTAAATAGATTTTTGTTTTTTTTTATTTTGGTCCACTAACAACAGAAGGTTCGTTACGATAAGTTATTCAAAAAAAGGTTTCAACAAAAGTGCATCATTGTAGGCTAGAACTAAGAATATAAGTCGTTAACTGGCTTTCAACACTTTTCTTAAACACCTCCGATATTTCCACAGAGAGAGAGAGAGAAAAACAGCAGTTAGTACGATTTTCAATTTGATTTTCATTATTTTCAGATTCAGACTTGATAGATTCTTTGTTCTAGAGTAAAAAGCGTGCTTTATGAGTGGAAGAGATTTGAGATTGTTTAAATATAATTTGAAGTTTTAAATTATATTTCAAAACTACTAACTGACAAAATGCTTTTGATGCTGACTGTACAAGTTTCGGATTTTGATTCTAATTTGTACTAAACATATTGAATATCGAGTTAAGCCCACGTTGTACATTTCGTTTTCGACTAAGTGCCAGTGAATTCACTGTGTTTCACTTGATCGAATTTTCGGTCTTGTTTTTGTTTATAAGCTTAAATATTTTCCATGGAACAGCAGGATCGTTATTAAATAATATATGTAGAACAAACATAACGATTACTTAAAGTATTATGAGAAAGTAAATTATAAATCAAACAAAATAGGTATTAACACATTTTTTGTATCATTACAGAAATAGTTACGTTTTTAAAAACAAAAAAAATATAAATTTCCTTGCTTAAATAATTTCAAACATTGTGTCAGCTATGTATGATTTAATATTTCTTTGAATAGGCCTTTTGGGGTACCAAAGACCTCTGGCTTAAGAACTGGATAAAGCTGCGGGTGTAGGATTAAACATTCAAGAGGATCAAACATTGACGAGTGTGGATAGTTAATTTGGCTGGACTGTGTTCCCAATTGCGTTTGTCCCTCACATGACAGTTGCTTTAGCACAAAAGCTAGGCGCACAGCACAGAGATATTTAAATCTGGTGAGTGTGGAGTGGTTACCTTGTTTAAATGCATTTCTATTTGACTTCCTCTTCCCCAAGTCTGTAGATAGACAATGAAATTAACTGTAGTCAAAGTTTGTAGAGTGTTCTGTGGCATTGCTAAGTGTACAAGGGTGAGTGCTCAGGTGGGGTGAAAGTGGGATCGGAATTTCAGTCGGGTTGGACAAAACATTGAACAACTTCAGTTAGTGCGTCAATGGCAACTCACATTCAGGTATTACCTATTTCATCTATTAGCCGACCTGAGCAAAGGTCAGCAAGACGATGTATCGTTCGACCTTTGGCCGTGTGCCTGTACTTTGGCTTACTCTTAATATCTTCTTCTTCGTCTTCTTCGTCCCCTTCAGTATCTTCCTCGTCATCGTCATCGTTATTGTCGTCGTCCTTATCATCATCGTCTTCGTCCTCGTCGTCCCCATTATTGTCTTCGTCATCATCGTCGTCTTTATCATTGTCCTCTTCGTCCTCGTCGTCCTTATTATTGTCTTCGTCATCTTCGTCGTCCTTATCATTATCGTCTTCTTCCTCGTCGTCCTCATTATTGTCTTCTTCGTCTTTGTCCTCATCGTCCCCATTATTGTCCTCTTCGTCCTCGTCGTCCTTATCATTATCGTCTTCGTCCTCGTCGTTCTTATCATTATCGTCTTCGTCCTCGTCGTCCTCATTATTGTTATTATTATCGTCTTCGTCCTCGTCCTCGTCTTCCCCATTATGGTCCTCTTCGTCCTCGTCGTCCTCATTATTGTCTTCTTCGTCCTCGTCGTCCTTATCATTATCGTCTTCGTTCTCGTCGTCCTCATTATTGTCCTCTTCGTCCTCGTCGTCCTTATTATTATCGTCTTCGTCCTCGTCGTCCCCATTATTTTCGTCTTCGTCCTCGTCGTCCCCATTATTGTCCTCTTCGTCCTCGTCGTCCTCATTTTCGTCCTCGTCGTCCTTATTATTATCGTCCTCGTCATCGTCGTCCCCATTATTATCCTCCTCGTCATCCTCGTCCTCTTCATCCCCATTATTATCCTCCTCGTCGTCCTCGTCTTCGTCATCCCCATTATCCTCCTCGTCGTCATCTTCGTCGTCCTTATCCTTATCTTTCTCCCCAGTTTCATCCTCCTCATCCTCATCCCCGTTATCAACATGTATTCTTTTTTGTCGTAATCTTTCATTTCGTATCGTATTCTGCAGACGCTTTAATCTTTCTCTTTTATCCTCATCGCTTTCTTTGGGATAGCGCAATTTAACAATTTTTTCATCACTTGCGTCGTCATCTTTGCCTATATAAGAAATTATCATTACGTTTTGTTCTTTCATTATGGGCAAGAAACGGGTAAATGATATTGGATATGTCTCTTTTCAAGATTTATGGAACCTTTTTTGTCTCAATTGACTTTGTAGCGATAGTTTGGCTTATGAGCGTGAGTTGTAAAGCAGATAACACATTGGAAAAAGGGAAGCTTACTCTTTTGATTGACTAACCACTGCAGCACACGGTTTTCATTTTTGAGATTACCTGAAGGAGAGAAGATCGTTAGTTAAAGCTGATCCAATTAGCAATTGACCTCATCATACCATCATACATAATCGGGACGCCGGTCTCGTAGTAGACCAAAGCTGGGAATGCGAAAATGCCAATTTCATGGGCCAACTTGACGTCATTGGATTTGACAAATTGGATTCCGTGCTTATCGGTGTCATCGTCGATGTTTTCCAATTCATCCAAGATATCAGAGCACGATTCGCATTCATCGTCATCTGTAATAGGTTTTATGTTTTTTAAATATCCACGTTAGATAAACGAATGATTTACTTACAGAAGAACACAGCCAGGTGCTCAACATCGTTGATCAAAACTTGCAGGGTCTTACGATCGACAGATTCAATAACGTCAGCTGTGGACTCGTGCAAGTCAATAACCCACTCAAGAATTTCCTCTTCCTTCATCAGGTCACCTTAAAAAGTTATAACCAAATAATATTTGTATAACACTTTCACTTATTCATTATTATCAAACTTACCAGTGTAAATTGTTCTAAACTTATGTCTATAAAATGCAAGTGCCGGCAGACCGGGCAGATCGTATTCCTTATCAATATCATCGTCGGATGTCTTTACAAAGTCAATGTCTTTTTCCTCGCACTCGTCATCGATGTTCTCCAGCTCGTTAAGGATCTTCTGGGCCTTCTTATCGCCCTCGGCATCTGCAGATACAAATTAAAGTGTGAGAATGATATACTATCTATAACTATCTATTTTCTTACAGAAGAACACGACAACGTGATCGTTTTCAGCCAAGATCTTGTCCAGCATCTTCACATTGACCTCCTCAATTTTTCCGGGAATTTCGAGGGTTTCGTCGTCGGTAATCCAGGCCAACACTTCGTCTTCGTCGTCCAAATCTCCGGTGAAGTGCAATGGATCGCGGTTCCTGAAGAACACGAGGCGTGGATAGGTCTTGACATTGTACTTCTTGGCGACTCCGGTATCCTCGGTGGTAACAAAAATGATGCCAGCCTCGTCCAGCTCGTCGTCGATACTTTCCAGGGCGTTCAGGGTGTGGTCACAGGTCTCGCCGGGTTCGCAGGGACCGGTGAAGAAGACGACGACATATTCGTGCTCGTTGATCAGGTTGACCAGGATCTCATCGGTGACCTCCTCGATGGTAGCCGTCTTCTTTTGCACCAACAGCCACTCGAGCACCTCATCCTCGTTCATCAGATCGCCCTCGTAGAGAGCAGGGATCTTGTTCTCGAAGTAGATGAGGGCGGGCAAATGATCGAGACCGTATTCCTTGGCTTCGGCGGCATTATCGATGCGCACGATGACAATACCCTCCTTCTCCAGCTCATCGTCGATGTTCTCCAGTTCGTTCAGGATGCGCATATCCTGCTTATCGTCCTTGTCGTCTGTGGGCGAATATATCTCATTGAAAAACACAATATAAACAATCGTTAATAGGGCTACTCACAGAAGATAACCGCCAAGTGTTCGGTGTTCTCGACCAATTTGTCCTTCATCTCGTCGGTGACCTCGGGAATTTCGGAATAGCGCTTCTGGTGCACCAACCAGCCAAGCAGCTCATCCTCTTTCATCAGATCACCCTCGTAGATGTGTGGAATTCCACGTTCAAAGAGTACAATCGATGGTATCTCATCGATACCCCATTCTTTGGCCTCCTTGTCATCATCGATCTTGACAAAGGCAATATCATTCTGATCGCACTCATCGTCAATGTTTTCCAATTCTGCGAGGATTTTCTGTGATTTCTTTTGGTCTTTGTCGTCTGTGGAGATGATGTTACAATAGTGTTACAATTACATTCTCAAAAGTGTTATAAGCTAGGAAATAAAATGATCAACAAACTGCTGTTTCGCTCAACTTGTAACTTGAAACCTACAATCTACATATTTTTCAAGGGTCTACCAATCGTCACCAGTACGAAAAGAGGAGGATATCTACTTGTTTTGGTTTAGTTTGGATTAATAGGTTTATAAAGCGCTTTGGAAAGTTATTACTGAAAAGCAAGTCGAGCACTCGACAGTGGGTTAACATTACGATTGCAGACACCCCAGAAATACAACACCAAGGAGTACTACTGTACAGTATGAACAGAGATTACGAGTCGATTAGAGTGCGCAAGGGTCCCGGCACAAAGTCACATAAGGTGTGGGGCCTGAAATCACTTACAGAAGAGAACGGCAACGTGGGGCATTTTCTCAATGATCAAATCCAACATTTCGTCGGTGATGTCCTCGATTTGATCGGAACTCGTTTGGTCTGTAAGCCATTTCAGGAGCTTCTCCTCGTCCTCCAGATTGCCCTCGTATATCGTTGGAATGCCTTTTTCAAAGTATATCAGTTTAGGAACTTTATTGATGCCATATTCAACGGCCTCCTCGGGATTGTCAATCTTCACGAAAGTGATGCCCAGAGCGTCGCACTCGTCGTCAATGTTCTCGAGCTCTTCGAGCACTTTCTGGGACTTCTTGTCGTTGTTGTCGTCTGGAAAACAGCGTGTGAGGAAATGGTTTGCCCTTTGGGGGATTGTGAATATTTACAGAACAGCACTGCAATGACGCGTCCTTCCTTGATCATTGTGTCGAGCATTTCGTCGGTGACGTCCTCGATCTCATCCCGTTCCAACTGGCCCAACAACCATTTCAGAATCTGCTCCTCGTCCATGAGATCGCCGTCGTACACATTTGGAATTTCTTTTTCAAAGTAAACAATGGCCGGAATCTGCAGATCGAACGATATATATATTCGAATCAACTTCTGGTTTTCTGGGTAGATCGTACCGATTCGATTCCGTAATCCGCTGCCGCCTTGGCATCGTCGATTTTCACAAACTGAATGCCATGCTTGTCGCAGTCGTCGTCGATTTGCTCTAGCTCCTCCAACACGGTCATCGAGTCGTCATTTCCATGATCATCTGCAGATTAATAGCACTCGATTATCGCGACCTTGTCTCAAGAATTCCCAACTACATACAGAATAGCACAACCAGGTTGTCGATATTGCTGATCAGCGTCGACAGCGTCTTCGAAGTGACGTCCTCAATCACGTCATCCTCGTCGCCCGTCGACTTATTCTGCACCAACCACTCCAAGACGTCCTCCTCCCGCTGAAGTTCACCTGGAGACACAGTTTCGATATTAGCAACGCGAGTAACCACGATTTCAGCATGGGATTGATATGGATGCGTGTGTCGGATGGTCTGAGTTTCGGGGTAAGTGTGGGTAGTTCGGTACCTTCGTATATGATCGGGGTCTGGTGGCGGTAGTAGACCAGGGCCGGCAGATTGCCGAGATTGTACTCGTCGGCCAAGGCCTCGTCGTGTATTTTCACAAACCCGATGCCCAGCTGATCGGCTTCGTCGTCGATATTCTCCAGCTCCTGCAAGGCCTTGGCGCACTTGCGGCATTGCTGTTTGTCTGGTGGGTTGATTGGTTGGTTGGTTTCATAGAATCAGGCAAACAATAGATAATTAGGCTCGTCTAACAAACGTCTCGGAAGGCGAGGAGGGAAGTAAAAACAGGGCTACACGGATTGGTAGAACATTCAGGGATTATGTTTCGTGCGGCCGTAAGTTGTGGGGTTATTTTTTCAAGAGCCATCTCAGACAGAGGTGAGTGCATGCAAGGGCCATGGAATTCCATTAGAGTGCAGAGTTACCCAATCATTCCCCAGGCGATTCGTTTATTTACACAATTTGTTTACAGCATCCCTGCCTGTCTGCGTGCAACCTGTTGCAAAATGCTCTTCTGGTCTTGGTAGAGAAAATACAAATGAAAATTCAAATGTGGTAGAATAGAAGAGAAAAGCTCTCTCCTCCCCCACACCTATTCCCCTATCACATTGCGCCTTGCTTGCCACATTCGTAAATTCGTGTGCTCTCCGCAAGCTTTCGCTTTTCTGCCTGACGCTGCGTATACGTAATATTTATTTCTGTGGGTCCGTCGGTGAACTTGTCAGTGTTTTTCGGTGCCACATGACTGGCCACATGTTTATGGCAACCAATCACGGCACCTTGCACCGAATGCAGTTAGCCGGCGGTAGCACTTAAAATCCATCCCCCTACGATAATAATAATTTTTTTGGTTGACCGGCTGAGTGGGTGTCGCCAAGGTGACAAGGCCAGTGCACATTTTCCTAAGAAAATTGCTCATAATTTACTGCACAAATGCAGAATTTGAAACATGTTTATGAGCCTCCGACTTTCCCACTGACAGCCTGACCAATTTTTGGCCCTGCCGCAGACATGGGCAAATGTTGCATTTAACTAAAAATAGTGCAAGTCAGTCGGGCCAAGCACACACAGAGTGCTACATGCATGTGCGGCTATTCGCATTTGTATATTATGTAAATCAGCATTTGGCTGCGACAACTAAAGATCTCTGCCCATAACCATGCATTGCCGGCTCGTGTCCGCCATGTTGATGTATTGCTGTATGCAAAAGCAATTAAAAGTGCTGTCTGTCCGCAGCCCCTGATGGATACAAACTCAATTGCAGGGGGGGCATAGTCTGTAGTCTCTAGTCTATGGTCTATAGCCTATAGACAGGGGCGGAGCGAGCCACAATGGGCCACAATTTCTTGTAGTGTCTCACCTACATGCTGTTCGCATCAATGCATTAGGAAGACCTTTTTGTTTTTCGTACGCTGTCTGCGTTTGATAAAAATACCTATAGATAGTGTAGCGGATACTGCAGATATATTCCCACACATGCCCACTCTATAGTTAGTTGTTTCAGAATTAAGCAAAAATAACAGCAGCAACAAGAGCAGCGAAAAAATCATTTTGTTGGCCGACCAACTGCTTGAGTTTTCTATTTTTAACACCAAAATTGTAGGTGGCTGTGTCGGAAAGAGACGGACAGCAGCAAATACTTTGTTGTTGGCCAAGACATCGACTCCCGTGTGTGTGCGTGTGTAGTCGTATATAGCCACATTATCTGCAAGTATTGGATTTATGTTTTTCGATAGGTAAATTCCTGCTTTTATTCCATAATTTATCCAAGGCCACCCATCACATTCTTCTATCTCACCAGAGGTTTTCCTCCAGAATTTCTAGTATTTTATACTCCGATATATATCATTCTGTTAATCGCCATATCACAGGGTTTTGGGATTGGAGATGCCGCGGCGACAAAAACATAATCTGGCGCCGAGCCCAGACATTCATCTGCAACGCTTCTGTTGTTGTAATGTTTATTATTATACGTATACGTAATATGTGTGTCTGCCTTCGTCGATAGCGAACGCGAAAATAAGAAACCTTGTTTTTCAAACAGAAGAATTACTAAGAATTACTATTCAAGCATTTGTCCTTTCCCCAGGCCATCGACGTTAACTTTGGCCTCCGAAGAGATTAGCAGATTAGAGATTTCCAAACGAATATAGATCTCAATTTGTTTGTTCATGTACCATCAACTTGAATCTCATAATCTCCTACCCGCTGTGCGTAATTTTCCTGAAATGGTTCCTCCCCAATCGTTCCATGTTTGCAAGCCCCAACACACTGGATTGTTCGGTTATTCGGGTTATATAGCCAATTATAAAGTACATATTTACATATCGTAACGTGGGCATTGCGGAAGAATATTTTCGTGAGCATTTTTGGATTACTGGAATCGGGAAAATTATTGTGGAATAGGGTAGAACGTATTGTCAATGAATTATTTTTGGGGGAAACAAAGTTTCAAAATTGAAAGTGATTAGAAGGAGAGGGCAGGGTTGGAGGTTCCCATCATTTTTCACGAAAAACTTACCCATAACCCTGGGCGGGCATGTTTCATGATCTGGACCTGCAGTCGTTTGATAAAATACATATTGCTTTGATAAATTGTCCATACGTAAATTGGCGCGAAAAATACCGCCGGAAGAGATATATTTATATAGAGAGTAATATTGAATGTTAAGTATGCCGCCATTTAGCTTTGGTTAGTCACAGATAATATACGTATTTATAAAGAGAGATACAGACATACGCATAAGAAATTGATTTACAGAATATACAGTATAGGTAGATATGATTGTAGTCTATACCTAGCTGTATGATTTTTAGTCACAAGAGAGCTAAACTGTTTGTGTTCGCTAAAAACTGCAACTGCTTTGAAATATAGAACATCATCAATTCAAATCTCCGACAATAAGACAGTTCGGAGTGGTAAACGTTTGAAGAAGTATAGTATAAAGTATATGAGTTAGGATCAAGTCAGTCGCACTTACAGAACAGAACGGCTACAAAGTCGGTGTCCTCGATGATCTTGCCCAATATCTTGGCATTGACCTCCTCGATGCGATCGGGCAGATCCATGGCCTCCAGGGAGGTGAGGAAGTCGAGCACTCCCTCCTCGTCCATGAGATCGCCATCGTAGATGATGGGCTCCTTCTCCCTGCGTTTTTCCGGGATTTCATGGGTCGATTAGGTCTTGTCTTATAGGATCGATGGGCAGTTACTCACCTGAAGTAGGTGAGGGCGGGGAAGTTCTTGATGCCATACTGTTTGGCTAGTCGTTTGTCGTTGATTTTCACAAAGTCCACACCGAAGGAGTCGGTGTCATCGTCGATTTTCTCGAGTTCCGCCAAAACCTTATCACAGGTCACGCAGCTACGCGCATCTGAAATCGCAGAATAGAGATACCAACATCAATTGACAATCGGCAACTGTTGCGTATGACGCGCATAACAGCATTCACATTCACAGTCACAGTCACATCCACATCCGAATTCAAAATTGAAAATTGAAAACTCAAAGCCCTGGCAGAGGTGGAACCAAATGCCGCACAGATTATTCATTCCTATAGTAGATGCAGGATGCATCATCGGTCTGCGCAGAGGAAAATAAGGCTGAATGAATGAATGAAATGACAGCAGCGCCAGGCCAATTCGGTGCTATTAATGCGGCAGCAACTGCCAACAAATATGCTAAAATTTCTAAATTAATTCATAAAATTCATGCGGCCACTATTAGGGAAACTGAATTGCAGCAGACAAAAGACCATCTCTTTAAATGTTCTGGTTGGTTAAACGGCAGACTGCTAGAGGAATTGGAATCGTTAATACATCGCCGAGTAAACACCCATTTCGATTGTGTTTGGCTTTCCATTTGAAACGTAATCGCAAGTTAGCCAATGGGAAACTATTTACGGGTGCTAAATGGGCGGTCAAAGACATGGAACAGACTAGGATGTTTCGTATACCCCGATGAATCTATCGGTTCCGTTGCCACAGGAAGCTCGATTCGATCCGTGATCCGTGTGTTTTCGCAGTGCAGTGCAATAACATAAATAGCGTTTACTTGAAGCAATAAACACATATAGCTTCTCAATAGAACTCATTTAAAATTTCAGCTATCTCTGATTTGATTATGATCCGCCATTTGCGTAGATGCTCCATGATTATTTTCGTTTGTTTGCCAGAGGCATTGGTCTTGAGGCTTTTGGATTTTAAATATGAATTTTCATTGTCAACAATTATTTTTGGAATTGCCGCCAATGCTAATGAAACACATCGTGAAAATGTGTAGGTAAAATAGGACATACATATAGAGGAGAATATTACAATCCGAAGATCACTTTCTTGTTTATTAACTTTGACATTGGCGGACAATGCAGAAAGGCCGAATCTATTTTTAAGGCGATTAAAGATACTTTATGTAGAACCATTAGCAGTTTGTTTATAAGACTTATTTCCATCAAATTCAAGCGGCTGAGTATTTATAGAGGAAACAATGGGAAACCATTTTTTACTGACCCAAAAATAGATGGCAGGAAATCGGTTGCCAACTGGAAGGAACTAAGATTCTGCAATTTTTTGGTAAGAGGTACTTTTTGTGCCAAAAGTTTGCGCCAAAAAAGATAAAAAACATAGAATATAAAAAGCTGCCTCGGTCTCTGAGGCGGAGACGATGGCAATTTCTCACAGCCAAGAGAGATTTCTCTACTCATAAACAGATCGCAAAGATAGCGCACAAACGAACAAGAAATATATAGAAAAGGGGAAGGCAACACAGACTACTGGCAACATGGGGAGGAAATAAAGAAATAGAAAAAAAATAGGAGAAAAAAAATAAAAAATTAACCGAATGAAAATCTCGGACATTTCGAGCAACGAATTTTTCACATATTTTCATTTGTATGTGAATTTTTAGAATTTTCACTAGCGAAAATTTATATAATATGGCTTCTGATTCTGATTCTGCCTCTGCTTCTGCCTCTGTTACTATTTCGAGTCCGGTCGGCTAACAATAAAAGAACGATGCCCGGACCCAATTGCATTTACTATATCGGTCGCACACACACAGTCACACCGTCATGGAACTTACACCAGAAGACGGCCACGTAATCCTTGTCGGCCAGGAGCTTCTCCAGCTGCTTGGCATTGACCTCCTCGATCACGGCCTCCGGTTCAACGGGAGCCACTGGCTGCGAGCCCTTCTTGTTGCTGTTGTTGTTGGTAGCGCCGTTCACATATCCGGGAAAACTCAGTGCCAGCAGAGCACACACGAGCAGCGAAAGAGTCTTGAGGCGAGTGAAAGTCATCCTTCGATCCCTCACTCACACAATCGGTTACGGGGGGAGGGGGAGGGTTCTATCTTCGGTTCGGTCTTCGGTCGACGGTATTCTAAACCCTTAACTCGAACATGCGTGCGTTGGCTCTTTTTGGTTATATTTTATAATTAATTCGTTCACGTCGTTTGGGATCTTTCGTTATTAAAATTTGTATTCCTTTGAGAATCGGTCACTATTTTTAGTTGATAATGGTATTTCTTTCTTTCGCAATTTATTTTATGTATAACAACTTTTGGTACACTGATACATATATACGAAATATATGTAGGGTATATATGAGAAAAATTAGATTATATATATTGCTTCTTGCTTCTATTAATTGTACGTTTTCCGCGGACTGTACTCTTTGCCTTTCAGATTTTGTTCCACTCCGTGCAGAGGTCCGCTCGCAACTGAAAGTATTTTGGTGGAAACTCGGTGCCATTCAAGAGGCCTTGCCCGAGCTTTAGGGATCGTGCGTTTCGGGCTTTTCCTCGCATTTTCCGCCCCTCCCTCGAAAAGCTTTCGGAACGAGCGCAGGAGCGACGGAAGATCGTGCGATGAGTGTGGTGAAATCGGGAAATGAGCGAGAGTTTTCCCTTTCGAATTGCAGTTCTCTGTTTATGCATTTGGTACGAGCATAAAATGGTCTTTACGAATGGTCCTATAAAAACAAATTGGGAGAAAAACATTTCAAAACTTTAAACACTTTTGTATCTTATTGGTATTGCGGCGCAAAATACTATACTACACTAGGATTATGAAAAAAAAGGACCAGTTTTATATCACCTGTAACAGGCAAGGGAATTCATGGAATTCAACAAAATTTTAAGTGTAAGGCCGGACTAAAATGGTTGCAGATTATTTTGTTCTCGACCACTACGACCAAGTTTAAGTATCACAGAGCAAGTAGACTGAATTTTTGTACACAACAATCTGTTCTTTTTAATTATTTGCCAAAAGTACAAAATACAATTGGCATCAAAAAAGTAACAATTTTAATTTTATTAATCAAGAAACATTTGGGTGTTTTCTTCTTTTTTGTGCTTCCCAAAAATTACGCATACGCAAAGTGTTTACCAAAGGGCTTCAGTAAATTCGTTATAAAAATGTCAAGTATTTCGGGCCTTTAAAAAAAGTTTTTTTTAATTCCGAATATGATTCCATTAATCAGCCTTTTAGTTTAGTTGAAGAACTTTAATAAAATTGTCGGGGTCACCACTTTACCGTTTTTTTAGCTAGCACCAAAATGTTTTGGCTATTTCTAGCTATTTTCAAATGCTTGTCTACCTTTTTTGTAAAGTGTAGAGCTGGGCACACTGTTACTCATTTTTTCGTTACGTTAGGAACGGTTGGACATTCGTTCTGCTGCGCACCAAATCTTTTCGGCCCCCAATGCAAATGCAAAACGCTTTCGTGGCGTGTGTAGTGCATTCTAAATTACCAGTGAACCGACGGGAGCCCTAGTTCCCAGTGCCCGTGCCTCCCCGAACTCGGATTCGATGTGACCAGGACCAGGAAGCCCCAACGGATACGGAAGAGACTCGCACGAAAATCGATCGTTGACGCGGTTTAAATCAAGGTAACCGCGCCATCCATGAATTAAAACCGCTCTTCCCACGGGCGTTTTCTATTTTTGTGAAATTGTACGGGTCCATAGGTTCACCTTGAACCCAGAAATGCAGAAGGGGCCCCTTCTACATACCAATCCCCCTTGCTCGTGTGTATATCTGCGCCCCTTCCGCGTGTGTGTGCATAAACATTGAGGCCCACCCACCCGTTCAACAGCTGTTCGGCCGTTTGCCGTCCGCTTTTCTCGCTTTTCAAGGCAAGTGAAGCGGAAAACATAGATATCCCTTCATTAGGTGAGGCACTTCTTATCGCTGTAATGGGCGTAGCTTCGCCCAGGGGGCGGGGCAGGGGTGTTTAACGGTGGCAAGGCGAAGGTGAAAGTCATCAGCTGATATGGGCTAACCGCCTGTAAAACCCGTTATGCAGAGCAGCTGTTTCGACGGAGCAGCTGTAAGTGGGACAAAATCCCCATCTGAAATTCGCAGTACCCAAGTTATGGGTTTTCTGAGCCCGACTTCCCGGTTATATCCGGATAGCGGGCACTATCGCTGGCCGATGTAAATTAGAAGCTTTCGCACCACAGCTGTATAAACCTAATTGAAGATTTCTTTGTTCGCTCGCAGGCTGCACGACACTTTGAGGGCTTTTATGTGATTATTACTATGAAATTGGATGAAATAGTTGCATGGTAAGCGAACAATAAGCTATTATTTACGAAATAATCTAATTCCCCGCTTACGTGCTTAGGTACCAGAAGAAAATCGGCACCTATGACAAGCAAGAATGGGAGAAGACCGTCGAGCAGAGGATCTTGGATGGCTTCAATAATGTCAACTTGAAGAACACCAAGCTGAAGACGGAGCTGATTGATGTGGACTTGGTTCGAGGTGGGTATTCCTTTGACTCTTCCTTAAAAAGGGTTATAAATTCCATGATTTATTGCAGGTTCCACCTTCCCCAAGGCCAAGCCCAAGCAGTCGCTCGTCACGGTGATCCGCCTGGCCATTTTGCGCTATGTGCTGCTGCCCCTCTATGCCCAGTGGTGGGTCAGGCAGACCACGCCCAACGCCTTCGGCTTCATCCTGGTGCTCTACCTCACCCAGCTGTCCAACTGGGCCATCTACGTGTTGCACAGCAGTCGCATAGTGCCGCTGGTCTATGAGAAGCCCTCAAATGGCACCCTGATCCAGTCAGAGGTACCGGGAGATGGAGAAGTACCCGCTGGGGATAAGCAGTCCGAGGAGCATGCCGATCTGCTCAGCGCCCTGCTCATCCCATGCGCCCTGAGCCTGCTGATCAGCCTTATCCACTCGCAGATAGTTGCTACAAATACCGCAACGGGCGGCACAGCTGGGAGCAGCAAGAATAAGCTGCGACGAATCTCCGCGAGCTTCCTAGGCGACAAGGCCTCGAACCGGGAGCATCGGGTGCGGCGCCGCAAGAAGTTTGTGCGGTAAGTAGGTCCGAAGTTTTGCGAAAAAAACTTCTGTAATTCAATCTCCCACAGCATTCGCCAAATGGAACCTGATATGTCGCAGGCCAGTAGCAACATTTCGATTCCAAGCAGACGCGCTCCAGCTAGCGTTATTGAAGTGCTTCCCAGACCGATCACTCCCTTGCCATCGCCCATTAGTACCTGTGCCTCTGTGCCAGATCCCATTCTGCCGGCCACGCCGCCACCCGTCGTAATTCGGCGAAACAGCAACGAGGAGACCTTTCTGACCACGACTGCCATTAGTGCACTACCCCAAACAGACGCACGCTTCGATCTCAGCAGGCAGACGGGGGGAGCGGCCCTCGAAAGCCCCAAAAAGCGCAACGTCAACTGGCACACGCCCATCCAAATCTACGCCACCTACGAGCGCACTGAACAGCCTTGCTCGAGTCGGGATGTTGGGGAAGATGGGGCGGATGCGAATGGTGAAAGCAAACCCGCCTACCAGTCGCGTCGAAGCATCGGCGAGGACGATGGCTTCGAGAGTCTGAATGGGAAGAGCTCCAGCGGCGAGGACAACAACCATTCACCTCTGCCAAACGCAGGGGCTGTTGTGGCTCCTCAGTCTGTTACCGTGCCAACCAATCAGCTGCGCCTGCGTTTGAACTCTGCCAACGCCGGAGCCACCAGTGCTCCTCAGGCAACGGAAAAGAAGGGTCAGTCGCGCGGCAATGAATCCACAACCAGTTGCGCCGAGTCGGATGAGTGCGATGATGCGGACATCATATCGAGTCCTGCCTCGGCGTGCAACCAGGAGTGCACCACCTCGGCCACCGACTGGCTGGGAGTGACGACGAACAGCGAAGACTGCAGCTACACCTCCGACTTGGATAACTCCGATGGCGGTTTGAAGCATTCGGTCTGCAGCGACGAAGATCCTGGCGAGCTGGACATTACGCCAACCACCATACTAAATCCACACAGCAGCCTGGACCGCAGTAAGTTAGAACTTGGGATTTTCTTTACTTGAATGGTAGTTCTCACGTTTCATTTACTCCCCCTAGTTAGCTGCACCATTTGGGATCAGCGGGACGCCAAGAAGGCCCAGCTATCCGTGCTGGAGATCGCATCCTGCATAATCGAACGTGTGGATTCGATGGGCGAGGCCAACGACTACATCTACATAGGCGTGGTCTTCTCCTTCCTGCTCACATTGATTCCGGTATTCTGCCGACTCTGCGAGGTATTTAATCTGGCATAGATAAAGTTATCCTAACTTGAACTTGTTAAATGCTTTCAGGTGACTCTCGGGAGCGACGCGGAGAAGGCCAGTGAGATTAGCTACTTGTACATGCCGCAGCTACTGTGGGAGAAGTCATCGGCCTCGTTCTACACTCTGCTAAGCTTCGCCTTTGGCGACAGTCAGTGGGAGCGTACCGTCCTGGCTCTGGGCTTTGTGCAGCGCCTTTGCCTGACCCTCATCCTGTTCATCATATTCGCCGTCGCCGAGCGCACGTTCAAGCAGCGCTTCCTTTACGCCAAACTCTTTTCACACCTCACGTCGTCACGACGGGCTCGCAAGTCGAATCTTCCGCACTTCCGCCTGAACAAGGTGCGCAACATCAAGACCTGGCTTAGCGTGCGGTCTTATTTGAAGGTGGGTTTAGCACATCTAGTTATCTAGTAACCCAAATCAACCCTTACAATCTTTAATAGAAACGCGGGCCTCAGCGATCGGTGGACATCATTGTTTCCGCCGCCTTTATAGTAACGCTTTTGCTGCTGGCCTTTCTAAGCGTGGAGTGGCTTAAAGACTCTGTGCACCTGCACACGCACCTCACGCTGGAGGCCCTCATCTGGTCCATCACCATCGGGATCTTCCTGCTGCGCTTCATGACCCTGGGACAGAAGATCCAGCACAAGTACCGCAGCGTGTCGGTGCTGATTACGGAGCAAATCAACCTGTATCTGCAGATAGAGCAGAAGCCGAAGAAGAAGGACGAGCTGATGGTGTCCAACAGCGTGCTCAAGCTGGCCGCCGATCTGCTCAAGGAACTCGAAACGCCATTCAAGATCTCTGGCCTCAGTGCCAACCCATATCTGTTCACAACCATCAAGGTGGTCATCCTGTCGGCCCTCTCGGGCGTTCTCAGCGAAGTTTTGGGCTTCAAGCTGAAGCTGCACAAGATCAAGATCAAGTAAATCATGCAGGGCGCAGATGCAGATGCAGATCCATCATATTTTTGTAGTACAACTTTTTCGAAACGCTTTAAGAGAAATCTACAACTACACCTCTAAATTAGTTAAGTGAATAAATTTAAGCGAGCCAATGTTTATGCTTATATCAAGTGATTGTTTAGCAGCGTTTGCAAGCCCACTACTGACTACGTAAATCAATTTAAATTAGTATTTACCACCTACCTTCTAGAGCGACCTGCACAATCACAAATCATGTTAACTCAAATTGTGTAATGAATCGTATTAAAGTTCATAGAACTTTTAGCCTGAAACCAATTCACCCTTCGTAGTTGGCTGTTTATTCTGTTACACAGTCTCAAGTTCAATTCCTAAAGCGGTCTCAGCTAGAGTGTTGCAATTAATAAATGTTAGCAATCCATATTAAAAATATTTCAAATTAAATGTGTTTGAGTATCTTGTACTTCCGTTGTTCAGGTTTTAATATTTTATTTTCTTAGATTTCGTAGAGAGGGTTATTAAGATTTTTAATATTATAAATTTTCGAATTTTGAGTCAATTTATTTTGTGTTTAAAATAAAATAAATAAAATTTTAACGGATTTCCAAGTTATTCAAGTTTTGACCTCTGGAAATCTTGATCTAACGGTTTAAAAATAGTAATTGAAAGTAAAATTTTTTTCAGTGCAACGCATTTTATTTCTTTGTAATCGATAGTTGCCATTATCGCGATCGACCAGCTGTTGCTGTGTATGCTATCGTTATCAGTTAGCCTGCCCAAAACTGACGTAACATTCGCCTCCCATTCGCGTGGTAATTTCAGGTATTAACTCCCCCAAAAACCCTCCCCCACAAAATGATCCGGCTAAATGGGCTCCTGAGAAGCTCCTCGATGCTGCTAAGCAGCCAGGTGCGATTGCTGCACGTGGGGGAGGCTAATATTCTGCCCAGCGAAGTGGACAAGCAGTCCGCGGAGTACAAGGTATAAACACTCGGTTATTTACCTTTACACACCTTCTGAAGTCTGAGTTTTTGTATAGGAAAATGCCAGTGAGATGGGTAGGTTGGTCGGAGAGCTGCGGAACTTCACCAGCCAGGTGCTGAAAGGCGGCGGGCAGAAGGCCATCGAGCGACACACCCAGCGGGGCAAGCTCCTGGCCAGGGAGCGCATCAATCTGCTCCTGGACAAGGGATCACCCTTCCTGGAACTCAGTGCGCTGGCTGGACACGAGTTGTACGGCGAGGAGGTGGTCAACTCTGGAGGAATCGTCACCGGAGTGGGTCGTGTTTGTGGGTAGGTTCAGCCGAACACCGGTTATCATATATATTAATCCAATTATCTTTCCAGAACCGAGTGCCTGGTGGTGGCCAACGATGCCACGGTTAAGGGCGGCAGCTACTATCCCATTACCGTGAAGAAGCATCTGCGCGCCCAGGAGATCGCCCAGGAAAACCGCCTGCCCTGCATCTACCTCGTGGACTCGGGTGGCGCTAATTTGCCGCGTCAGGCGGATGTCTTTCCCGACAAGCTGCACTTTGGACGCATTTTCTACAATCAGGCAAACATGTCGGCTCAGGGAATTCCCCAGATCGCCGTGGTTATGGGCAGCTGCACGGCCGGAGGAGCCTACGTCCCGGCGATGGCCGATGAGAGCATCATTGTGAAGAAGCAGGGAACCATTTTCCTAGCTGGTCCGCCGCTGGTTAAGGCCGCCACTGGTGAAGAGGTGTCCGCGGAGGATCTGGGAGGAGCGGATCTGCACTGCAAGACCTCGGGAGTCACGGACCATTATGCTGTGGACGATGAGCACGCCTTGTATCTAGCCCGGCAGATTGTGAGCAACCTGAACCTGCCCGCAACGAATTCCTACAACGATCAGCTGACGCACTCCAGCCAAGCCAACTTCCAGAGGGCTGTTCCAGCAGCTGCCATCGAGGAGCCGCGCTACGATCCTCGCGAGCTGTACGGCATCGTGGGTCCCAATCTTACCAAGAGCTTCGACGTTCGCGAGGTGATTGCCCGCATTGTGGACGGAAGTCGCTTCACGGAGTTCAAGAAGTTGTATGGCGAGACCTTGGTGTGCGGATTTGCCAAGCTTTATGGCCACACGGTGGGAATTGTGGGCAACAATGGAGTCCTCTTCTCGGAGAGCGCCCTCAAGGGTGCCCACTTTATTCAGCTGTGTGCACAGCGCAAGATTCCGCTGGTCTTCCTGCAGAACATCACGGGTGAGTAGCTAATGAGTTTGAAGAGACAGCAATATCCCTAAACTTTCAATCTAGGTTTCATGGTGGGACGTGATGCTGAGGCCAATGGCATTGCCAAGAACGGAGCCAAGATGGTAACGGCCGTGGCCTGCGCCAATGTGCCCAAGTTCACGGTGATAATCGGTGGATCCTACGGTGCCGGCAACTACGGCATGTGCGGACGGGCCTACTCGCCTCGGTTCCTCTACATGTGGCCAAACTCCCGCATCTCCGTGATGGGCGGCACCCAGGCGGCCAATGTCATGGCTCAGATCACCGAGGACCAAAGGAAGCGAGCCGGCAAGGAGTTTAGCGAGGAGGAAGCCCAGAAGCTGAAGGCTCCCATTGTGGAGATGTTCGAGGCGGAGGGCTCTCCGTACTACAGTACGGCTCGCCTGTGGGACGACGGCATCATCGATCCGGCCAACACGCGCCAGGTTTTGGGCCTCAGCCTGAAGGCAGCCATCAACAATGCCGGTCAGGACACCAAGTTTGGAGTCTTCCGCATGTAAATCTAATTTGCAAGCGAGAGAAAGGAACCCGGGTGCATTTACAGGCATTTAATGCCAGCCTTTATATCGAAACTGTTGCATTTATTAGCGTTAAGTCAATTGTTAACTGTGTAATCTACCACTGAGTGTCTATTTCAAAACAGAAGGTCGAGGAATCACGAAAGTATCATTTACTTTTAAATTGATTTTTTAACTGTTGAAATGGGTGTTGTCTTTTTTGTAACTAAAATATCTCAGCGATACAACACATACGGAAACACCAATCTATTAAAGCATTATAATGATTTTAAAACTGGCAATGAATATTTATAAAATGTCAAGTCTAAATAGCGAAACTATTGCATTTATTAGCATTAAGAATGGTAATTTGAGTAAACTTGTGTTGAATAGTAAATTCTTCTTTGAAACAATTGTGTTTTAATTTAAGAACTCGAACAGAACTTTGTTTAAACTGGTGGTTTGAGTTATTGATGTTTAACTGTAGGATGAAGAGCGGCAACCGATACGGTTTGTGATTTTGGAATATGTGGGAAGAACATTGAAACTGCTGAGTACCATAATTACTTACAACTTTTACACTCCCAAAAGTGTTTTCTTGTATGTTTGAAAAGTAACGGCCAAAACGCGAGAAGGTGCCGCCACGCACTATCGCCCACCTCTAGCGCCTATCGATAGCCCTCCATGCGGACCTGCGCTGGGCGGTCGATGCATCAGAGTACATTTTACATCCCTAGCGCTCGCTCGTTTGCCTGAAGACGGCTCGTCATAGAATTTGCATTTCTTTGTTTAAAGTCCAGGAATCATTTAAAGCGCCCTCGGCAGAAAGGACAACGACTAGCTGAAAAGGTGAGTTTATCAGAGGATCGGAGGATTTACCGGTTGGGTGCCCCACTGCGTCCGTATGACTCAGTGAGTCTCTCTCCGTGCGTGTCTGTGTGTGTGTGCGGCTCCTCGACTTTTTCGCGAAAAAAGAAGAAGAGAAGAAGAAATGGCAAAACCTAGAAGTAGCGTCAGCAGAAAAGAAAGTTCATCGGTATGTGGCGATTTAAAATAACTTTGCCGAAAACTTCAAGTGCACACTTGAGCGAAATAGCTGTACATTGCGGAGCATCCGTGCGCCTGTGTGCGTCCGTGTGCGTTGTATGTTGTATATTTAAATGTCGCCTGCTGCTGCTGCTTCTCGTTTCCTCCTCCAAAAATAAAATTCCCTATTCTGGTTGCGTGCGAGTGTGAGTGCCTATCATCTTGGCGTGCTACTGTGTGAGTGTGCTTGCCACAGCCGCAAAAAAATAGAAAAAAGAGGCCGCAAAAATTCCGGTGCAGTGTAGAATGGCTAATGTGCCGCACAACCCCAACCCCCGATGGCTGCAGTGTCTGGAAAAAGCGGGGAAACCATATTTTCTGGCCTCTTTCTGGTTTTGAGCCACCATTTCGATGACGTCACTCATCTACGGTTTATCTGTCAAACCCCCGCATTTCTCGACCTGTGCTAGTGTTTGTGTGTGTGTGTCCAGTTACCAACAATTCTCGGACTTGTTTTGTTTTCTTTTAGCTCGACTTACTATTTTTATTTTTATTGGCTCAATTGAAATCTGCTACGCCGACGCAGCTTTCTGGCCTTTTTGTTGTTTCTCCATTAGCTTGCCGGTTTCTTTCGGTTTCCCCACTCAAAACCTCTCCACTCACACCCATCAAATCGAGCGGATTTGGCTCACAATATCGGAATGTTTAATTGTTGCTCAAACAGCTTACTGCTGTTGACACACTTCGCCGCCGATTTCAGATTTATATTTGGGAATTTTTAAATATGTTTAGGATATGAAAGACATTTCAACGGGGGGCAGGGGCTTAAAAGTGGAAGGCCCCGTTTTGGGGGCCACTAATCCCCCTTTCTCGCTGCTCTTTTCTGTTTTCCTGGTTCTGCTTAATTAGTTCGCATTCAACTTCCGCTGCACGCGCCCACACTCGCACACATGCACACTTACTTATCGACAGACTACACTGGGAAAAACATCATCAGTAATCGATTCTTTCATTTCCCGAAGAAAATGACACACATCAGTGATTTGCCATCTTGGAATTTGGCTATTAATCATTAAGACTTCCGAAACATTACAATTTATTTCTCACTCGTAGGATATTTATTTACATAATCTTCTCTTCAGATGTCATATCAGGTATCTTCGCAAATCTGCTGACAAATCTAAAAAATGACTCAAATTCGCAATCCAACACAATTTTCGCCTTTGACTAAGAAAACTAAACAACAGCTGCCGCATAAATTTTTGTTTATTTAAAACTTGTTATTTATATAGATGCGCTAAATGGATTAGTTCATTGTTTTAAGAAATCTGTTGGTCAAAAATAATAGCTAAGGTTTAATTTCACATTAATTAATGGTTACATTTTTCTTACAAGTAATGTCCAATATCAAAGTCATAAATATGTTTGCTTAGACTTGTGCACTGAATCATAAAACTAATCATATTTACTCATTGGAAAATGACGAACACGCCAGTCTTATAAGGCGGGAGATAAACATAAAAATGAACGTAGTAGTAAACAAAGCGAATGGAATTTATAATTTCTTGGGTTATTTTTGTGAATTCACAAGCAATATGTTAATATTTCATATTAATGCTGATATAAACGTTTTAAGGAATTTTCCCCATGTGTAAGAATACCAACTCGTTGTATTTGGGGCATGGCTATTGTTGTGCCTTCTCCGGTGGGGGGCACTTAAATCAATAAACTAGCAGCAAATCGCTCCGCATTTGAATTGGAGTTCCGCCCTTTCGGGTCAATGCACCCGTACACTCGCACAGCCAAAAGGTGGCGAGGCAGAATTTTACGGAAACTCTGAAAGGCGCGCGGCCGATGTGAGTCGGTGTATATTTATAGGCCGGCTCCCAAATGCCGGCCAATTCTTTATCTCGCTGGCCCACGTTTGCAATGCCCATGTTCTATGTTCCTGCTGGCCAGGCTGACATTGATAATGCCAATGACGCGGTCCATGAGTAATCTTCGTCTTCGAGAAAGGAGGATGTCAGCGAAGCGGATCGCTGACGACGCGTCGCGGCGTCGAACAGTCCAAGTTCATTGTTCGCCAGTTCCAGTCTCCGCGGAGCGCTTTCTTTCCACTCGCCTACCATTTCGTTTGATTGCCGTTTATGCTCTCGTAAGTATTCAAGATGGTTCTGAAGAACCATTATCTCTGGAAGTTCAGAAGAGTATCCGCAGAGGCATATTTGTTTATCTCTATCGCGAACTTCTCCAAATCAAAGTGGATTTATTTTTAGTGGGCATTGAAGCAAATTGGAAATACTTTATATAGGGTTGAAAACTTTTCAACGTTCCTGAAGAATTCTCGTTCGCATGTAAAAAGTTTGTTCACTATCGCTTTTTTTATTAAATTTATACATGTTACTCATGAAGTATAAAGATATACTGTATTCGCAAAACAACTGTTAATAGGGAGAGCAAATACTGTAAATTAACAAGTTCGTTTCTAGAGGTGTAATTCTGAAAACTACAAAATAATTAAAAGTTACAAGGGATTCTCTAAAGAGACTCTTTAAAAATACTTAAATTCCAAAGAATCCAAATATTATGGATCAAAATGAGTCAAAATGATCCATACTATGCTTTTGGTCACCGCCTTAATTTCATTCCATAAATAGAGGCTGTCGCCTTAAAAGGCACACAAACAGGCCTTGATAATATTGCTATTCAGTTAAGATCTCGGCGATACAACAGTTTGCATTGGAATTGTCAGTAGGTCGTGGACTTGTATCAAAACGAAACAAAAGGAAAACAAAAGTAATTTTCACAGTTTCTTTTTGATCTTGCAAAAGAGAGTATAGCTAGAGGGGAGTTGCTAGGAGCACACCGCAAACACAAAACCGGTAAGTGCATCGGCGATGGTAATTCATTGACAGATTGTTAGTCTTATTCCGGGAAGTTGGATAATGAGTTTTCGGTTTGGAAAGGCCTTTCGTGCTGCCTCCAGACCGGAGTAGTCGAAACAATCGAACTTCTCGGCGATAGGCCAACCCGCCAAACTACTTTCGAGGAACAAATTCTGCAGATTCGTGGAGTGAGTTGAGTGTGCAACGGTAACATGTCCAATAACAATCATTTGGCGTTCCCGGCTGCCGTTTGCTGTTTGCTTTTGCTGATGATTATCGTGATCTTGATATTGAGCACGCACATGGGACACGCTTCAATGCAGCCCGAGCCAAAACAATTATTAGCTGCCGTAATTAAGAGCCGTTCATGGCAGTAGCACTCCCACACGGACGGAGCACTAACCAGTCTTTTGCATCTTTTTTTTAGAGCCGCTCAAGAAACCAGAGGACACCACCATCATGGCTGTTAACGTTTACTCCACAAATGTGACGTCAGAGAATCTCTCGCGCCACGATATGCTGGCCTGGGTCAACGATTGTCTGCAGTCGCAGTTCTCAAAGATCGAGGAGCTCTGCACAGGTAAGACGAATCAATCTTAGAAGTGATGAGTGATTTTTGAGAACGACCTCCGCCTCGTTTCTAGGTGCCGCATATTGCCAGTTCATGGACATGCTGTTCCCCAATTCAGTGCCCGTAAAGCGTGTCAAATTTCGTACAAATCTGGAGCACGAGTACATACAGAACTTCAAGATATTGCAGGCGGGCTTCAAAAAGATGTCTGTGGATAAGGTAATGCTTGCTCAAAAGTAGTTGTTTTGTATACTTCTAGATTTTTTGTTTTGTTTTTGTTCAAACACACACAAACCCAACCAATCCCGAGAATATATAGAGTGGACATGGGCACGGTACAGTGGATGCGCTTTGAGGAGCTCTCCACTGTACCAATCAACTCTTGTATGTTGTAACTAACTACGATTTCCGTTACAAATCAACCACACGACCACGCAAACAACGACGATCGTAGATCATACCAGTTGATAAACTGATTAAGGGACGCTTTCAAGACAACTTCGAGTTCCTGCAGTGGTTTAAGAAGTTCTTCGATGCCAATTACGATGGTCGCGAGTACGATCCCCTGGCGCAGCGAGCGGGGGTCAAGCTGGGCAATGGCAACGGCAACGGACACGGCAGCAACGGAGGCAGTGGCGTGGGCAGCAGCAACAACGATCTCCACCTGATGCACCGACGGCCCTTGCAGGCGCCAGCCGGAAGCGTTCGCATGCCGCCGCGGGTCATCGCTCAGACTGGTACGGTTATTGGAGTGGAAGCCAAAAACTCCGGTGATGGAAGCCCGCGTTATTTGCTTGCCATTTCCTTTTGAGTTGCGCAGCGAACGAACGTGAAGCCTGGGATGCTGATGCCACACCACACCACATAAAACTCCACTCACCGCACTGGTCTCGAGCAGCAGGAGCACCCACTACTACCCAACAAGCACACACATTCAGTCGCATCCCAGCACAAAGCACACAAGTTGGAGGATCTGTTGTTGTCCCACATCCAAAACCACTAATCCCTCTTCATTCCCTTGCACAGTGATGGGTATTACCTACATATTTGTTTCTAGGTCCCTAGATTGGGTGTTTCTTACCTTGTTAAATATTTATCGGATTAAGATAGGGTTTTTAAACTGTTGTTTCTTATTATACCCTTGCAGAGGGTATTATGATTTCAGTCAGAAGTTTGCAACGCAGTGAAGGAGACGTTTCCGACTTCATAAAGTATATATATTCTTGATCAGCATCACTAGACGAGTCGATCTAGCCATGTCCGTCTGTCCGTCTGTCCGTCTGACCGTCTGTCCGTCTGTCTGTTTCTACGCAAACTAGTCTCTCAGTTCTTGAGCTATCGGGATGAAACTTTCCCAAAAGTCTTCTTTCTATTGCAGGTAGTATATATGTCGGAGCCGACCGGATCGGACAACTATATCTTATAGCTCCCATAGGAACAATCGGAAAAAAAAACTTAAAAAAATTCTAACTTCGGTGTTTTTTGAAATATTACTTTCTACTTTTGGGGATGTTATTTTTTAAATATTTCTAATTTTCGAATTAATTATTTAAAAAATCGGACTACTATATCATATAGCTGCCATAGGAACGATCGGAAAATAAATGGAAAAGTAATAGGAAATAAATTCTAGCTTCTTTGGTTTTTATTGTATTTTCTTCTACTCTAGGATAAATATTTCTGAATTTCAATTTTAATTTGATCAAAATCGAACGACTATATCATATAGCTGCCATAGGAACGATCGGAAAATTAATGAGAAATATTAGAAAATTGAACATTTTTGCGATTTCTTAATTAATAGGAATGATCTGCAAGGGTATATAAGCTTCGGCTGGCCGAAGCTAGCTTCCTTTCTTGTTTTTTGATTTAATTATAAAATGTTCTTTACGAAATATTTTGAGAATAAGACCTTTTTAAATGATTTGAGATTGTAAATAACTTAGTTTAACTGTTTACGAACTCATGATTATTTGCAAATGAATGCGTAATAATTTTGATAAACCAAAGAAAAATTATAAGAAGTTGCCGTCAGATTATTCTTAAAAACCGTAGTCTCTGAACGTGTAAAACTAAACGCTTTAATTTTTGAGAAGTTTTCATCACTGTTCTTCAACTTACTATTTAATTTAAGTATTCTCGTAAAACATTTTGGTGCTTTGGCTTGCCAAAGATTTCTGTTTCTCCTAAATCCATACTGTGTGTTTGTTTATCCTTATTTTGTTCCCATTGCATTTGGTTTCACCACACACTCTCTCACCTGACTGCATATTTCTCGCCCATTTTACTTTTAGATTATACCCATTGATAAGTTGATCAAGGGCCGTTTCCAAGACAATTTCGAGTTCTTGCAATGGTTCAAAAAGTTCTTCGATGCCAATTACGATGGCAGGGACTACGATGCCAGCGCGGTGCGTGAGGGAGCCCCCATGGGCTTCGGCTCGGGAGCGGGGAAGTCCCTGCCTGGCACGGCGGCCAGCGGCGTGCACAGCAGCTATCGACGTGCCCCGACGGCAACGGCGCGCCCAGCGACGACGACGACAGTGAAGCCCAGTATGTTGTTTTGGTTTGGTTCCCTAGCTGTACTCTCTCTCCTATCGCTATCTTTCCTTTCATTATCGTTACGCACTATCCACATGGTCAGACAATTGTACATATCGATCGCATGCCATGGTCCATTTGGATGCTCTCATTTTTATGACACTAAATGCACATCCTCCAAGTAGACACAAACATATAATACGAAGAGCTAAGCTGTCTGTGCTTCACGTTTGTTGACTCCTTAAGCTTCTGTTCCTGCAAAGCGGTTGTTTGCATACTAACCTCGTTCGTTTCGCCCATTCAAGCAGTCTCCAAGGTGCTGCCACGCACGAACAACGCCGCGCCGGCGAGCAGAATAACCGCCGGTGCCAATAGCACGGGCACCGTCAAGAAGAACGACGCGGGCAACTCGGTCAACAATCAGCAAATCGAAGAGATGTCAAACCAGGTGGGTGAAGAACAAGAAAATAAGCAAAAATCGGTTACTAATGTTAAGGATCAGGTCATGGATATGCGCATCAACCTGGAGGGATTAGAGAAGGAGCGCGACTTTTACTTCTCCAAGTTGCGGGACATTGAAATTCTGTAAGTACCGCCGAAGCAAATTCATTTTTGGACACCTTAATAACCGACTTTCATTCTTACAGATGCCAAGAAGCTGATGACGGCGAGCAACATCCGCTCATTCAAAAGATAATGGACATCCTGTATGCGACTGAGGTAGGACAAGTCCGTACACTTTTTCGCACGGCCCTGCCATCACTTAGACTTATGTATCTTACTTGCAGGATGGTTTCGCGCCGCCAGACGATGCCCCACCAGAGGACGAGGAGTATTAATTTAAACGAAGAAATGAAAAACAAACCCACTAAATTCATTTGCTGCATACATATTCAAAACATAAGTCAAGAAGCAGGATGAAGGGTACAAAAATAAAGTTTATTGATTAGACAGGAACCAAGAAGACGTTTAGCAAACGAGAAGACTTACGAACGCGTATAGGGCTTAGATCCCCAGGCCGAGGTTGACAACAGGAGCGCTAAGTGATTAAATCGTTATACTTCAAACATTACTTTACTTTAGAAATGCCGCTGCTCAAAGGATAGGGAGACGGGAATTATTTTCATATTAAAGAGATCTTTCGGTTCAAAATTGAGGTCGCGAATCTTATCCTTATGCGTCCCGCTGTTGCCGATGAGTGTCAACCGTGTCATCATCAACCATTTCACATTTAAATTGTTTGTACTTTAGCGGAATAAACGAAAACTAAATCTCACTATCTAAAGAAAAGCCAGCAAACACTTCTAAATTCTTCGTTGAATACTGAAACTCTATTTAAGAAAATTGTTTAAAATTCTCAGTTTATGAATTTAATATGATTTAGCTCAGTTAGTTGTCTGTAACATACGCTTTACACAATTAAAACCAATTTAATACATTTATATTTTTTGTATAAGTTTCATTAGCTGACTTTAATCGTTTTGAGTGTTGTATGTAGTGGATCACACGAGCCGAATTTGTATAATCTGAAAAATATTTAACAATGAGATGTCATGCACCAAACCGGTATTTTGTACTTTCAATTTCTACTTTTAAATAATTGGCTTCGTAACAAAATGATTATATATATTAAGTGATTTCTTGCTCTCGATTTTTTAAGTTCTATGATTATGTGTAAAACAGGTAGAACTCGTTAAAAAGTTTGAATAAAAAGCGAACATCTTTCTATTTTCTAAACACACTTTTGATTTTTTCCCTAACGATTCACCTTGAAACGGATGAGTTTTCCTGGCCGGAAGCTTGTGAAATGCACCCACTCATTTACACTTCTCCGATAATTGTAAATAATTTGTTAAAACTTGTCGCACACTAACTACACACGCATAATAGTCAACATCTGCTTTCGTCAGACGCAAAATAAAAAATAAAATGTATAATTAATGTGCTCGCTCACCATTACGGAGCATTATTAGGGTGTACCAAATACGTTCTATAATCTAGAATAAAAACATGTGTTGCTTGATTCAAAATTAATGCATTTCTCATTTTTACACACGAGTATTTCGAGACCTTAAACTATTTAACGGCAGTCTGGATGTGCGGCTGCTTGTGGGTGCCGTCGCAGAAGGGTCTGTGGGTGGTCTGTTTGCAGTTGCACAGCCAGTAGTCGCCCGACTTTTCCACCTTGAAGCGGATGGGCCTGGAAGGTAGATAATTTTATGAATTATGAGTTACCATTCATGATCTTATCACTTACCTCTGCTTGATCTTGAGGAACTCGTTCTTGTGCATCCCATCGCACAGGGGCTGAGATTTCGACTTGCCGCATAGGCACCAGCTGTAGGTTTTATCTGTTGGTCGCGAGTTGTGGTTATGTAAACAAAGTTTTTCATAATTTTTTATGGAGTGTGTGAATCGTACCTTTGTCCAGGTGGATCTTGAAGGGTCTCTTGTCGAAGATGGCACCGTTTTCCTTTTGCAGAACAGCAGTTTGCTTGTCCTCGAGCAGGTTTTTGGGTATTGTTTTGGCTTTGGCCGAATCCCCCGATTGTGCGCTGGAACTGTAGCAAGCCTAGGGGGGTGTTAAATTAGTATTATTATTGTTAAATCGGATTACCTTGTTGTTTACCTTTAGCATCCAGGACGCCCGGAAATTGCGCTTTAATATTATTGACATGCTGCCGCTGTTTTATTTATTTTCTTTATTTCTTCTGCTGCTCGCGCTGTCGAAGGTATCGATATTAAAGCATATGTTAGCTAATCGATAATTAGGGTGGCACTGCTTCAACAATATTTCGCGGGTATAATTTGTTAATTGAGTACTTTGACGTCATAATAATCAAATTAATAAACATTTTTCTTTATAAATCTAATTACCAACTTTTTAATAGCGTAAAGGATTGAGAGGGAACACACAAATTTAAACTTGCCAGTGCTACCAGACCACCTGAATTTGAATGCACAGTGTTGTGAAACGCTCCGTCAGACTGTCATCGATGCTCTATCTGTCGTTATCGCTAGCCAAGGTCGCCACTTCAAAATTTGATTTCACAATTCCAGAATCTTTCACTGATAAGCGGAGATATGATTCGGATGCGCCTCGGAAATGTCTTTCTGCGCTCGCAGGTATTCCAGCTACTATCACAGGCGTTCATCTGAATGAAAGCTCGCTATATGTATGCCCAATACTGACTTGGCATTCCGACTGGCAGGCGCACACGCCAAAAACGCCCAGATAACTCGGTTTATCAAGCGGCCCCGTTAGACAAACTGATTAGCCTCACCGCCGAGAGATTTTCTTCGTAATATACTTTATTTTACAATACAAATACTACATAAGCGGGGGTGTCTTACGAATCTCTTTCAATTAAATATTAAAGGAAATTAAAATAACGGTGTCCCAGAAAAAAACTTTTTAGAAACAACCTACTAATGGGTTTTGAAAAATGATTCATAAAGTTCGAGAACTTATGATTCAAAAACTACAAATTCCGGGACACCAATGGATTTTTAGGTAGTACCCCAAACCAGTAGTACCGACACCCTCGGGGATTTTTGGGTCACCACCACAGATGGTGTCTAGAACTCGGCGTGGAACGGATAGTACTTGTGCCCGGCCATCCCGGAGAAGGGCACCGTGCGCTGACCCGTGTGATACTGCTCCATGCTGGCGACGTCCTCCGGACTCAGCTCGAAGTCGAAGACCCCGAAGTTCTCCTCGATGCGGGCCTTGTTCGAGGACTTGGGCAGCGGCACCACCCCTAGCTGGACCAGGTACCGCAGGCAGATCTGGGCCGTGGACTTTCCGTACTTCTTGGCCAGCTGCTGGGCGTGCTCGTCGTAGATGAAGGGTGGCCACTGCCGAGAGGGCTGTGGGCGGGCCAGGGGGCAGTAGGCGCAGATGACCAGGCCGTGGCTCTTGGCATGCTCCCGCAGCTTCTGCTGCTGGAATCCCGGGTGGCACTCCACCTGGTTGACCACCGGCTTGATGCGGCAATTGGCCAGCACGCGCTCCGTCTGGGCGGCATTGAAGTTGGACAGGCCGATGCTGCGCGCCAGGCCCAGATCCACCAGCTTCTCCATCTCGCGCCAGGTGTCCAGGTAGTCCACGTCCGTCAGCTCCAGGGTGCCGTGCACGTTGCTGTCGTTGTGGAACTTCTGGCCCACGGGCATGTGCATCAGATAGAGGTCCACGTACTCCAGGCCCAGGTTGCTCAGGCTGAGGCGGCAGGCGCGCTCCACCAGCCCGGTGTCGTGGTGGATCCCGCCCAGCTTGGTGGTCACGAAGACCTGGTCGCGGGTCACCACTCCCTCGGCGATCTTCTCGGCGATCGCCTGGCCCACCTCCGCCTCGTTCTCGTAGACGAAGGCGGTGTCCAGGTGCCGGTAGCCCACGTCGAGGGCGTGGCGCGTCGAGTGGTAGGCGTCCGACTCGAAGGACTTCCAGGTGCCCAAACCCAAGATCGGCATCTCGCGCCCATTGTTTAGCCGGATGGTGGGAGCCAGATTGGTCATCGTGTTGTCGCTGCCGCTGATAATTAACGCTGTGCAAATTGGACGCTTCTAAATCAGTGCGATTAGGTTTTTTTTTTCGGTGGTCTCGTCTCGGCAGCAATCCCTATCTGTTCGTTCCAGCACGTTGAAAGTTTCTCGGAGAACTGTTGGCTGCTCAGCCGGTTTCGTTGATTTTGTCACGGCGAGCAGCTGCTGTGTCATCCGGTGACGTCACGGACAACGCGCGGTTATTCCCAGCGAGCAAAAGCTATTTTTTTGGAGAGCGGAGCGGAGAGCCAAAGCTTTGGGAGCTCTCCTGAGCAGGTAATCGTTTTTGAGCTTAGCCAACATAAGTCGATATTTTAATTCCCCAATGATCCCCCTGTGGGATCCCCATTTTATCCATCATTTTAAGCGCGTTGAAGAGATACTTTAGATATCTAGATACTTTGAACTGGAACCAGTTTGGGGAACTACATATACCCAATAAATAAATAAAAGGTTTTGAACAGAAAATAATGAAATAAAACTATCTTAGCAAATAGCTTAATCCCGGCCACTAAAAACCAGCCACTCGCTAACACATAAATCTTTATTCGAATATTAGTTGAGTTCAAAATGTTAGACATTCAAAGATACATGCTGGTTTACACTTAGTTTCAACATTTAGGGTTGCCATTAAAATATTTACTCTGCTTTGCATAAATCTCACTTCGCTCTTCGCAATATTGGGTATACATGTTATTAGAATATGTAATCTGTTAGTACGGTTAAAAGATCTCTGTTTATGCTACACAATATGTACGTCTATACCATGCTCGATGGATTTAATTACTTCTAAGTGGTTTGTTGGTGTTGTCTTCTTGCCGTGAGCTCCTGGGAGCCGTCTCTTTCATCCGATTACGAACTATTTATTTTACTCTATTTTGCTATATGGTAGGTAAGTAAACTTCAAGATTGTTTTGCGTTAGACATGTAAACACTGATTTGAACATTTATTGGTTAGTACTAGTTACGGCTCGAACATTTACTGACTGATTATGACTGATTGGCATTAGCTATATTTCGGTAACGGAGGTATATACGTATAGCATGAATATATCGGTTTGTGTGCATCCGTGAGTTACCCAATGATGTTAAATTTATGCAAAGTGCCTAGGTTATATTTGAGAAATGAAAAGTTCGTAGAGTTATGTTTTGAGATTGTCAAATCGAATCACAAGTAAAATTTGAAATTTTCCCTTCTTTGGAGTACTTGCATATTTTATATATTTGTATCTGTACATATATAGTATGTATATCTGTATTATTGAAAGTGCACAACAATAACAACAGTGGTGGTGTATTGTTGGATTTACTTTAACATAGCAGTACTCAAAAATATATAAATATTCTTGGTTTTGACACATAAGGGTTTCCATTTGTTGGAAACGATTTCTTAACACTAGAATAGTTTCTACAATCTGTATGCTAGATTTATGGATCCATTAAATAAATGTTTTACTTTTAATATAATCTTTTTGTCCTTTTAATGCTATAAGAGTTGGTTTATTTTTGTCGAAATTTTCCTCAGAGGATTGCTAGGTTGCGTCGGGTTTATAACGCCTACACAATTCTATGTGGATGATTGTGATAGATTCTACCCGTTTTCATAGCAAATGGTGTAGATAAAGTAATTAAAGGCTTTCCAACTCTGCTTACAAACTTTACCATACTAAAATTGGTGTTGCGTTGCTTGTAAATCAATACGAAATTTTTACATCTCATCAACTATAAACTAAACAGTATTGTTTCGTTTGAATCGGTTCGCTATATCTATAAAAGTTGTATTGAAAATTCGTTTGTTTTTATTACTTTTTTGGAGGAGAAACCACTGGATATTTAATGTCTTGGATTATAGTTGAATATATTGTTTGTCTGATTGGTGTAAGTAAAGGAAAAAGCTTTATTTAATACGACAATTATAATCTACGCATCATGGTCAAAGTTTTGGTTACATCTAGGAATGGTATTATGTGATAAATCGTTGTTTGAGAGACCTTTACTTGGGAGAGGAGTTGGGTTAGAATGGTAACTACAAGTACTGGATAATCTACGACTTCTTAGATTTGATCTTTTATTGGTATTGGCATTACTCAATAGGGATTTCTTCTATTTTACGCCGAGCCTTACAGGTCAAACCAACTTCACTTGGGGTGACATTAGAAAAACACAAAATGCTAGTCGGATCCCCGACTTTGAGATACTCGGTACAAATGTATTGAAAATACTTCATTGGTTCAAAGATCGATTTGTTCATACAGACGGACGTATACAAAATCTTACATGCGGAATATAAATACTTTGTGATGTTGAAAACGATCCGTTTCTTATTGTTTATATATACTTAAACAAATTTGGAATACCCTTCTGTTTTTCAAGTACCAAGTATTACAATTACATCTGTTGTACAGTTGTTTTCAAAAATATGTCGATTCTAAAACAACCTTTTAAGGTAGAAACCCATGTTTGTTTATGGGATGAAAACTGAAAATAATACGGTTCATTAAAAAGACATAACGAAAGAAAACTAAACTGGATTGATAGAAAACAAATAAATTTTTTAATGGTTTTCAAACTATTTTGTTTGGAATTTTTAAAGGCAATACGAAAGACTCCCCACATTTTGAATACAACTGCACCAGTATAAAGAAGGTAAATGGTTTTACACGTATTTATGTACAAACTACAACTAATAAGGTCCCTCTCCAGTGTTTAATGTTTTGTATGCATTGGCATATATGCATATTTTATAGCTTACTTAACACAAACAAGGACAGAATTTTCTACAAAATAAAACAAGCAAGGGTTGTGTAAATAAATATTAATAAATGGTTTCGTATTTTATTTGCGAGTTGCAGTACTTGGGGAAAACGAATTTCCAAACGATAGACAAATTTAAAACTTTAAATAAAATAACTTATCCGCTACGTAGCTTACATGTTAATAACTAGCTTCAACTAGACTGTTTAATAGTTGGTTTTAGTTTAGGGTTTTTAAAAAAATAGATTCCATGCTCTCGGAAACGCTCTACAATTTTACAAATTATTTTACTAGCTTGCGTAGGATTTATAGAGTAAAGTTTTGTAGGAAATTATGCAGTTTAGTGCTGTTTGTTTTGATGTTGCCTCCTCTAAATGTTTAGTATCACACTCGTCCAAGTTTTGTTGTTATTCGTTTCGGTTTCCGCCGGGACTCCCGAATTTTACATTTTTGTTTTCCATCTATCGTTTTGTACTAAAGCAAAAAAGTTTCTCGTTTGCATTGAAATGCGTTTGGGTTTCAGTTCATTAGAAGATTGAGATAGTTCCTAGTCGGGTTCGTAGAATATACAAAGTACAGTTGTAGCTTAAAAGCTAATGCGAATGCGGATGAAAGTTTGTCCGGGTTGTGGTGGCCATGGCGCCAATTGGCTTCCCGAAAACAACCCGGCTAAGCTCATAACTGTGCAGCTAATTGCGGTTTGATTAACACACACACTCAGGGTTAGACACTTAATACAGGCTACAAGCTAATCAGATAACAGGGCCTTTCGGGGGGCTTAGAGCTTCCGGGTGGGCTCCACCTTCTGGGACATGGCGGTGAGCACCCGCTGGTTGTCGATGACGCGGAAGCTGCTGATGTACGTCCTCACCTCGCCCTCGCTCTTCGGCGACGGCGGCTCCAGACCTGTTGCAAATGCAAATCGAAGTCAGTGAGGAAATTACCTTCGAGCAGATGGGGTCCATCGCACTTACCCAGACTCCTGGAGCGACAGAAGCGGATGGTGCGCATCGTCTGGGCCATCATGTGCATCTTCTCGAAGTTCACCAGGCCGTCCAGGCTGGTCTTGTTGCCCTCGTGGGCGAAGGTCATGTCCTTGAGCAGCAGCGGCATGAACGGAATCAGCGGCGGCTGCAACTTGCCCACAAACACGCGGTACGCCCTGTGGTTGCGACTGGGGTCGATAAGGGCCTCGAACTCCTGGAAGATCTTCCGGAACTTCGAGGGGATCTTCTCCCAGGTCTGTTGCAGCCGGGACACCGCCATGTTTGAGAGGCCCATTACCACGGCGAAGAAGGCGTTCAGATTCTGGTACTCCTTGCAGCTGAAAGGGAATTTAATGGGAATTAAACATCAGGTTCTTGGCTGGGTAGAACCTTTTCACTATATCTTTGAGGTTCAATAACTTCGAATAATACAATACTTTTAATGCGCTAATAAAACTTCATTTAAATGTGTTATGAAATAACTTTTTTTATGTTTTTAACAAATTCTTGCGTTCACCATATCGGTGAGTATAGAACTTATCAGGATATATCAGGAAAAATATTTGTATATCACAGTTGAAACACTCGACAAAGGAATTTATTACTCAACTTAAATTTTTTCAGCACCGTTATGAAGAATGAAATACATTTTTTTTACAATCCTTTGAGGTTCAATAACTTCGAATAATACAATACATTTAACGAGCTAATAAAACTTCATTTTAAAGTGTTAAAGAACCACTTATTTTATGTTTTTAACAAACTCTTGCGTTCACCATATCGGTAAGTATAGAACTTATCAGGATATATCAGGATAAATATTTGTATATCATAGTTGAAAAACTCGACTAAGGAATTTATTACTCAACTTAAAGTGTTTTAGCACCATTATGAAGTATGAAATGCATTTTTTGAATGGTTAAGATTCTATGCCCTGAGTCTAAAGATAAAAGGATTCATCTGGAGCACTTACTAGGCGGCCAGCTTGATAAACTTCCGGACCAGACCCACACGTTTACTCAGGCTGGGCGTCGATACCAGTTCGGTGACAATCCAGTACTGAACCTCGTTGAAGCGTCGCAGGAAGACATCCAAGTTGGCAGTGATCTGTGGGAATGGATGTGAAAAATATATCGATGTGAGCAACGTGACTGCCAAAAGTTCTAAAGCCAATAGTTTCGGGCCATCTTTAATTACTTCGGTTGGCAAAACTCGGGGCTAACTTAATTTGCAAGCAGATGACAAATGGCAACAGTTTTGCGGTCAGTGTCTGGCAGGCTAATTAGCCAAACGAGACTTTGGAGACTCTTGGCAAAAGTTGGGCCTCTTACCTTGCCAAAGTGATGACGCCCGAAGGTGTGGTAGAGCAACTCGTATTCATGGACGGCCCAGAAGAGGTCCCACTCGAAGAGGGTGATGTGGTAGGCCAGCTCCTTGGTGCTCAGTATCTCCAGATCGATGTCCACGCCCTCAGTGGGGCATTCCTGCTCCTGCAGCTGGGTCTGCAGAATATAATATATAATATAGTATAATATAATATAATCTTTACTGATAAAAGCTTACCAAGGCATCTAGGTGATCCTTGACGGAGACAAATAAGCGGCCGTTGAGCGACAGGCCCGTCGGTATGCTGACATCGTTGTCCTTGAACACGGAGCGCTCTCCGTTCGACTTGACTTCGACGAGGACGAGGTCCTCGGGACCCCGGTTTAGCTGCAACTTGTCGGCGGCGCACGCCTTAATAAGCTCCGCCGTGGTGTGCATGGGGAATCGCAGGGTACAGTAGGTGTGGTCGGCACAATAGACGCGGAATATGACTGAAAATTTTTAAATTTAATTTTTTAAATATAATTTATTTACAATGCTCTTCTTTTAAATTTATTTCATGATCGCTTCATCTCGAAAAACAAAATTGTGAGTTCATTCGCCTTGAATATAAGAACGTTTCTTCTTGAATAAGTGAGAGAACGAATTCTTAAATTGAGAGAATTTGCTCTTTTCAGCTAGTTCTTTCAACCTAAACTCACTAAGGTATTCTCCTTTCTTTCAAGTATGATCGCTTTATCTCGGAAAACAAAATCGTGAGTTCATTCGCCTTGAATATAAGAACATTTCTTCTTGAATAAGCGAGAGAACGAATTCTTAAATTGAGAGCATTTGCTGTTTTCAGAAAATTCTTTCAACCTAAACTCACTAAGGTATTCTCCTTTCTTTCAAGTATGAGGTATTCTATTTGACCAGCACTTAATTTTAAAGGACACTTACTGTCATCGTCTGGCCGAATGACCGTCTTGGCCGGCGTCGCATTGCCGCTGAAGAGGCAGATGGGCTGTCCGTTGGGCGGCAGCTTCCACTTCTGGCCGGCGTTCTGGTTGCGGTCCTCCTGGTAGCGCGCCATCTGGGTGAGCACGTTGTGCACTATGCTGGTCTCCTCGTTCAGGTCGGGGTCGGCCTCTACCTCGGCGGCCAGGTCCTCGATGAAGTCGCAGACGCTGGGCTCCTCGAAGGCGGCGTGGCGCACGGCCATGACCCACTTCTGCATGAACTGGATCACGCGCTTCTTGAAGTTGATTATATACTCACGATCCTCGGGTGTCTGGGCGTCCTCATGGGCATCGCAATGGAAGGTGCAGGGCGGTTAAGGAGGAAACCAATTTCGTTTGGGATTGCGAAATGGGATTTAGAGAGGGATTTGCCGGGTCCTGCATATATCTGTCCGGCGGAACTTTGCCCAAACCCAACTACTTTTCCGTCCTGGGGAATCTGGTTATTGATTTCTGTCCCGCATTCTTCCCAACCTTGTTGCTCCCCCCTGACTGCTTATTAAACTCATCACGTATTTCGATGCAGATTGTGAGATTAGTTTCAGGCATCATTGACCGGAGCGCCCCTCCTACCAACCCCTATTTCACGGCATTCTGAAAATGCTGACCCAAGTCATCATTGTGGCTTTTGTTTCGACTGAAGTTGGATTGTTCGCCCTGCGCCGAAACGGAAGTGTTGCTTGTTAGCATTTTCTGCTACACTCGAGCCCAAAAGGCCACCCAAAACCCGCTGGCCGGGATCGGGGTCATGTGTAGAGAGGCTTGCGTGCTGCCGGCACTTAAACTGTCGCTGTGGAAATGTTTCGTGCTCCCACCTAGGGGAACGTGACTCGGACGCGAGATGGTCTAGTATAAGAGTGCGCTATTTTTTTTTCGTAATTTTTAAGTGCAGCCTGGCCGAGGAGAGCCTAGCTAAACGGACCTTGGAAACGCCAGAAGCACACTAGAAGGGGATTTAAAGTGGTCAAAGGCCAGGATTAAGCGCTGAGACGTGGCTGGCATTGCAAAAGAACTGACAGAAAAGGAATTTTTCGGTGATTTTTGTGTTGTTTAAAAAGGATATTAATTGGCCAATTCATCAACCAGCTGCACGACGGGCATGAATACAATGTGCGTGAGCAGAAAGTCGTCCAGAAAGGGGTCCATTCCGCCCACCGACTGGCCCAGTCGCGTCTCCAGCAGGTGCTCCAGCATCTTGGCCGGGGTGCCCGACATAACCGTGTATCTGGGAAGAATAGTTAATATTTAGAAAAATATTTTCCTTTCAGAAGTTTACTACAATAATAAATAATAATAAAATAAAAGTTTTATGCAGGTTCAATGTAAGTATTTAAGGAATTTTAGAGAAACTCTTCATCTTAAATTATTAATTTTAATATTCTAATTTCTAGTAAAGTGGCTTCACTAGTAACTAAATGTTTGATTTTTTGTATAATAATCCAGGCATTCAATATAATTATTTCCTTTAATTTCTTCACCAAAAGCGAGAGAATGGATATCAAAGTCAAAGCCATTCCGTCACGGCCAAGAATGACCTAAAAAAGCAAAAACGCGCGACCCATAAAATCAAAACCCAGCCGGGAGTTTCAATTAAATTTGAAGGCACATTAAAAATTGATTAGACACTCACTTGAATGCCGAATGCTGTCCACGTTGCTTGGCCACGCGCTCGAGCACTAAAACATCCTTGCCGTGCTCCTGCAATCTCAGGGTATTGGCCTCCACATCGCGGAGTATCCGGTTGAAGTGTTCCTTGTCCACGCGCAGCAAGTGGCAATTGTTCTCCTTGAGTACGATGGTAGCAGCTCTGCCAGAAGGTTGGGAAAATCATTAGTTTTCCCTTTAAAGATCCGTTTGTTATTAACCTATGCCACAAGCAGCCTGCACTCGATGGGTTTTAAAACCGCATAAATAGCTATAAATATGGAAAATGGATGCGCTTGGCTTTTGGCCTACCACTGAAGAGTCGGGGAAATATTTTAAATTGGATTTCAACGGCAGCCAACAAAACTGCGCCTGCAGTTGGCAAATAAACTCAATCGATATGCGGAATTATTTACCAGACTGCTGATATGAGCTCACAACTCGTGGCAGCGCGATTTATTATATTTGTTGCCGGCAAACAAGCTCTCTGGCCGTTTTAATTAACCAAAAAGCTGGATGGAGCTTAAACTAGTTATCCTTTCAATTGAAGTATTAAAAACGGAAGTGCACGCATATGAATTAATAAACCTACAGATAAGTCGAACATATATATTTATTTCCCATTGGTGAACGTTGTTTATTTAACCAGGCTCTAGCTCTTTGCCGACTAACAATAGAAACCAATTCCATTATTTAGCAACTCTTTGATAGTTCCCTTCCTTTGCCATCCACCCAAGCGACAGCTCAGGAAATGGCTTACAAATTGGACGTGGGCCTTGGCTAATATTTTGTTTCAATTTTCAATTGTTTGCCTTAAACTGGCACACAATGCCGCTTGTTATCTGTCGCTGTTGTGGAGCTTGTTGCCTGTTATCTCGTCCGTTGCACTATTACCCGTCGCTCTGGTTCTGGCCATTGTGGCCATTTGGCCATTGTCGAGACCCGACACACAACAGAGTGGAGAAGAGGCTTAATACACAGATGCTTTCTCAAAAGCTTCAGTCGTAAAGGATGGCCCAACCATTTAGGAATTCAATTGGCAATGACATTGCTCACCATGGTCTATCATCGCTCACCTGGGTGCGTCGTTTATCAAGGCCAGCTTCCCGAAATCGTCCCCAGTCTTCAGAGTGGCAACGGTTCCCTTGCCGTGTATCACAACGTCCACAGATCCCTTGAGTAAGATGTACCAGGAGCGTCCTTCGTCGCCTTGATTGAATACTGTGCACGTTGTTGTTGTTTTTTGTTAATGGTCGTAATGGGTTAAACGTGTTAAGGGATAAAAGTCGTTATTAGTACTGATAACTCTCGCTTCCTAGCTCAAATGGCTGACCCGTTTATTGAGACATAATTAGCCGGGGTTTAATTAAAAAGTTTCCCCAACTTTATCGTTCTTTTTACGCTCTCTCCTTTGGAAAAATTAAATTTTCGCAATCTTAAGAGTTATGAATTCTGCGGCCGGATACTCACATATAGTGCCCGCCTGGGCATGAGCCTCGAACACGAAAATCGACGACAGCTCCCGCTTGATGCTGGTCGATAAGTGGGAGAGTGCGGCAATGTGGACCAGTTCCTCGAAAACCAGCTCCAGCTCCTCCGATGTCCGTTCGTGCGAGCTGTGGATAAACAAATATATCGAATTTAAAGACTTAAAACGATTTCAGCCTGTGAAAATGGATCAATGAATGGAAATGCCATGGTAATCCGTTACGCGGCTCTGCCATTTAATTCTTGATATCATCTGCGAAAACATCTACCAACTCAACTTAAAGTCATGTAAATTGGATTAAATATACACTTAAAATAACTAAACAATAAATCAATTTTAATTTTAAATTTTGTTGTTATTTATTTTGGGAATTTTATTTAATTGACGCACTAATATGAATGTATTTCTTATCTACTTTACTGCGCCGTACCCAATACATATGAGACACTTTCTTTAATGAGTTTTTTATTAATTACTCGCGACATAATTAGCAAGATTTTAAAGACCAATAAATGTAAAATTTTTCAAAATATATATTAGTGATATAATCAAACTATTTCTAAATTCGAGTATTTTATCAGGACTCGTGGTCAGTTTTAGTTGGTTATAAATCACACAACAGTTTTTTAGCATTTTAACACACTTGCACTCGCTGAGGAGTGAAAAATAAATAAATAAATAAATAAATAAAATAAATAAATTTTTTTTAAATTTCTTTTTATAAGAGCCCTTAATTTGTTGAACCCATTCAGTACTTACGGTTTGCGCAATATCATACGCAGCGTGGCGTCCGGTCCGCGCTGGAAAAGAGCGCTCAGAGCCTCGCGGATGTGTTCGTTGGCCGCTCCGAGATCCTCCGCCTGGGGCACGCCCGCTGCCGCCGTCCCGCCTTCCTCGTCGAGGCGAAAGCGGTACAGAAAGCACTTGTCCTTGAAGGGCTGCTCCTTGTTAACTGCAGTTGGATCGTTAATTTAAATCCAAAGTGCATCTATTAGTAATGACCTACCGTGTGCGAGAACTCCTTCCTCGACGAGAGCCTGCCACATGCCAGCCGCTTGGGCGCGGGTGTGGACGATGGGCGCTAGGTTGACCAGCCAGTCGACGAGCTCGGTGCCAGGGGCGCACTTGCGGATTAGCTTTCCAGAGACCTGTCCGTAGGCGGGATAATTAGCATGCCAAAGGCCCCACTCTCAAGACTCCTAATCCACACTCACCTTGCGATCCTTCAGACAGCTCGAATTGTCGGCGACGAGTAGAGTTCTTAGGGCCCAGCCCATGCGGTTCATAGCAGGACTCGGCGTCTGAAAATTTCGAAATTTTCTTTAATTTCCACACCCAAAAGTCCGGCACCTTTGGGTCAAAATGTCAGAGCCAGAGGAAACGACCTTCCGCCCTCATGAATAACACATAAATATTTTGTAATTCCCTCGACAGCTTCTGGAGCAGCAAATTAACTCATTTGTCGTCGTCAATGTCAGGACATTACATTTATAATATTTATGTGTGCTTCAAGGTGGCTTCTCTGGTGCTCTGTTTTTTTTTCTTTATATATATTTTACCTCAGTAATGGGCAGCGCTGGGTTCGGATGGTCGGGACTGAGGGGTCTTTTTGTGGGCGATGTGGCCGCCGCTGCTGTCTGCACACTTGGTCCAAAACCTAAAGTCGCAGCCATGGTGTTAATTAATTAATCCAACTAAATAGCCTAACTAAATTTAAATGCGAGTTCAATAGGCGCAGTCAGTTCGGTTTCTAAACGATGAATGCTCATAAAAGTTCTCAAATTGTGTGCAAAACAAAAATAACTCACGATCAACAAAATGTATTTTTAAAAAATAATACAAAGCAAGCCAATGAAAGCAATTAATCACCGAATGCACACAATATTAGTCACACAAACAAATATTATTATTGTGCGAATTAAACGGAGCTTTTGTGTACATACCGTTCTTTAATTTGCAATTGGTGAATATGTCATTCATCAACTCCTTGTTTTTCTGCAATGAAAAGCGTAAAATGTTCATTAATAGCCTGGCTTTTGTATATCGATGTTCGTGCTTCAGAGGATGCCAATTCCAATTACGTTGCTCATTTCAAATGCCGTCGACTGCGGACGCGTCATCTGCCCACGTTCCAGTCGCCTTCGCCGCTTGACGGCGGCGGAAGTGGCGCCAGCTGTGGCCTTGGTGGCTCCTACTGTGGCCGCCACCTGCTCCTCCCCCTTGGCCTTCCCCTCCCCTTCTCCGCCTCCGCTGTGACGTCGGTAGCGCAGCAGAAGGACGCTAGCGGAGGAGGAGGCTGGGTCATCGCCGGCCACAATCTGGGCGGACCACCGCTGGCGGCCAGCTGACATGTGGGCCAGTCTTTGGGGGTCACTTCACTTTCACTTGGGACCCGAGTTTCAACTAGAGCCACCAGGTAATTGCCGCCAAACGCTTCTCCGCACACTGATAGCGTCCCGGAGTTGACAATCACACAAACGGCCCTGTTCGTTGTTTGCAATTACTTATCAGGCACAAGGGTTGCCGAAGCCCCTACTTTTCACACGTTTCTAACGCCTTAACCCATGGCCCACCATGCGCTGACACCCCTAACAAACTGACTTCAGATACTCTCAGGTGAAACCTTTTTTAAAAGCCTATTGTTATACTGTATTTATTTAAAATTCATTTCAATTTTGTTGATTACCATTTTTTTTCATATAAATTATATGAACCTTGTATCTTGGGTAAAATTACAGGGAAAATATCGAAAAGAGTTGATTGGTTTAGGACTTTGATTGTAAATTGGTTTCTGGGAAAAATATCAAGTTTCTTCGACCAACACAGAGACCTATACGAAAATTATTTGGCTTGGTTAAATGCTTTCACGTTTCACTGCACTGATTTAGTCACTTATATTTAAAACACAATCATTTTAAGCTAAATAAATATACAAATTTCTTGTGAAATCAATTATCAAAATTGTTTTCAAACGATGAGGTTTCTAGGAATTATAGATTGAAAATAGTAATAGTTATTTCAGCTTTTAAATTATTAAACAGCGCAAATATCATGCTTCAATTAATTAAACATTAAAGTGAAAGTGTGTACCCTTCTTTTTATTTATTTTTTTGGATTTCCTCTACCTAAAGAGACTCATTACCTGGAAATGGGTTAAGAGCGAAGCGAAGACGCCTGGCAACACTTGAGGTTCCGCCCGCCGATAAGCAACAAGCGCTGCGTTGGCGTCGTCGTTGACGCTAATTAAACTCGCTTTGCTTATCAAACGCACAGCTCGCCAAAATAAGTGCCACCCACTGGGCGGGTGTGGGCTGCTCAAAGGGGGTTCTAAGGGTGTTCAAAGGGGGTTCGAGGGGCTGCAGAGCCTTCGCCCTGAATGCCAGACACATTAATTGAACCGTGATGTTTCCTGTCGAGCTGTGTATTTCGAGGAAACTTTGCATTGCCTTTGATTGTTAAACCAACCATTACTATGTTATCAAAGCCTTAAAGCCAATAATTGGTTTTTACCCCGCATTCCAAGCGAGAGAAAATATTTAATTTGAATTTAAAAGAAAATTTATTTAGAAGGAGAAACGAAGAATATTTAGATAAGCATCATTTATAAAGCACGCACTTTTGTTATAAATTTAGTGACCACTAAGTTTCTTTAAGTTTTAAAGCTATTTGTTTGAAAACTTTTTGCAGTCTCTCCAGGAGAAAGTTTGTCAGCGTGGCTATCATTTAGATCAAAATGCTAACTAAATTTTTATCCAACTTGGCACATTGAAGCTTTTAATGATTAAATGATAACAAATTCTTACTTTTTATTAAGATTGGTTTAAATTTAAACAGAAAAACACTTAGAAAGAAAGCTTTGTTGTTAAAAACTATGCAAACTTTGTTTTTTATTTCCTTTAACATTACCCTTGAAGAAAACACTGGAAAGCTTTTCTCGGTAAATATCCTAGAATTTTATTTTCCGTTCAATGAAACAGAGAAACAAAACCATCTGCGCTGATACAAGAAAATATCCTTATTTATTGTTTTGCAACTTAACCAAAAGGAAATGAGTGCCAAGCATCGTCAGCAAAGTGCAGACTGCTGAAGGAACATTCTAGTAAATCCTGTGGATTTACCAGAAGTGTGTTCATTGAACAGTGTTCGCAACTTGGATGAAATTTAAATTGAGCGATGCAGCCAGCACGTTGATGACTCAAGTGAATTTTGTCTCCTCCGCCGCCAAAGGCTTCGAAATCCTTCAGAGATGCCCTACTCCCCATTCACCTCCCTTGCGGGTTCACATGTGCAACTTGTGTTTGTGCATAAATAAATAACCCCATGACCATGGACATGCAACTGTGCATGCCACGGGGCTCTCAATAGAGTCGGGGCTGCAATATTTATGGGCTGGATATTACGCAGACCACATGTTGGCCAATTCCGTGGCTGTGGATCGGCGCGCAGAACATAAAGCTCGCCCGAAATTAAATGCAAATATTTAGCAATCAAGTGGCATTGAATCGCATTAGGCAGCCGTAAAATCGAGTTATAGCCGCACACTCGACGGCAATCTGAGAATTTGCCGCAAGTGCCAAGTGTAATTTCCGCCACTGATGCAAGACTTACATTCATCCGCCCCGAGGTTCCGATTGGAAGCGACTACATTTTTCCCATCGCAATCGGAATCGCCATGCCAATCCCAATCCACTCGACTTGGCTAAAACGCTTGTCCGGAATAATTGGCAGCCATTGAATGGTAAGTGGCTGCTAGTTGTTAGTTGGTTTTGGTATTTGGTATTAGGAATTCACTTTTGTGCGCCCCTGGGTCTCGGAGAAATGAGACTGGTAATTAACCCGAAATTCCCTTTCACCCGCCATATGGGACTACAATTGCTTTCACTGGCATTTTCAATTTGGCCCACTCGAGCAAATATTTGCGCACAAATCAAATGCTCTACTAAGGGGCAAAGTGGAATGACAAGTTCCATGAACTCAATGGCTTATATCCCTTACACTCCTTCGAATATTTTCCTATTCCCTCTCAATTTTCCCCCTGATTTTATCGCATTTACGCAGTGGCAGAAGAAATTCCCCAGTTCGCATTTTTATGGTACTGCTACTGCCAGTGGCACTGCATCCTTAGCATCCACCATCCACTTTCACTCGACTCTCCATTGTTGCACACTGCGTATACGTGACATGTGGTGGCCCTGCTGTCGCAGCTACTTTGTTATCGCTCAGCTCAACTGGGTCTGCCATTCGTTGCCGGTAAGCCAATGTCGGGATAATGTTGCAAAATAGTATGTGCCCCAATTTGAGGTTTGCTCCTGCTTCTTTCGTCCTGCCAACAAATAAGGTAAACATACACGTCCCTCACTAATTCTGGCATTGCTAGAATTGTGTTTGTGTGCGGGCTTTATACCTTTTGTGGGAGCCTCAGGGGATGACTTGGGGCTCCCTTCTGAATGGCATTGTTAGTGGGGTCTCTGAATTCCACACACAGTTTTCATATTGAGTTTTGCATTCGGGCACTGGCAGAAATAAAGTGAAAAGTAATCAAATCGATGTATGCCAAAGATTCTAGGTTTGAGTTTGAATTAATTTGGAAATTTTCATCTGTGGCTTCCGTTTTTCCTAAGTGCACTTTTTGACGACTGTGTGGGCCTCTCAAATATTTACATTTTGGCATATGTAAGCCATGTTGTGGTCGACTTTGGCCAAAAAGATGCTTTGCCACATTCCAGCCTTGTGGCTTGCCTCATGCAAATATAATTCCTTTTCCGGTCAAACGCATTTCTGCAGAAATTAAACCAATCGAACCTTCTGAATGGGCAGTTCGTTTGAGTGGCAAGCCTTTCCAATTAATTATCCCATCCCTCGAGTCCTGTCATTCCATTTCAACAGCGCGTAAACATGCAACGTGGACATAAATGATACATTGCAATACCACTACGACTGTCATTACATTCTAATGCCATGCTGTACATAAAGAACTACTTAGGCCACAGGAGAAACTTGGCTTAATTCCCCACTCTGCGGCTAAGCCCCAGCACTTAACACCGGAGGCCCAAATTGCTTGCCATGTGTTCGGGCTTAGGGCCTGGAACTTCATTAGGAAAAAGCTGTCTCCGAACTCGGGTCCTACGAGCCCAACGAGCATCATTAAAGGTTAATTGAAATTTTAATTAAATATTTTCGACAATGACGCAGGAATACCGCAAATAGTCGAGGCCCCCCAGCTCCTGGAATTTCTGCATATCATTTTGGCAACTCATGCCCACAGCAGCTGCTCATTAAAACAGAAACACAAGGAGGGCACACGGATTGATTCCTTTGACAGGGCAGAATAGGGTGGCGAAAATCGATTTGAGAAACTTAAACTTAAGCTTAAACTTACCTCCCAAATGAGTCGGAAGTCCTGCTGCTCCACGCGCAGCAGCTCGCAGGTTGTCTTCGTCACCACGGTGCTGTCCCGCGGCAGGTCGTGCAGTACGGACTCCCCGAATGTGGCACCCACGCCCAGGTTGCAAAGGGTAACTGCGCTCTGCAAATAAATAGGGCCAGAATATCCAGTTAGACAGGGCTGAAGATGCGGTTTTGTTGTGTCTTTATACCCGGTACATTCTGACTGCAAGGGTATATTGCATTTGTTTAAGGTAGATTGGAGAAAATAAATATCTCTACTTAATAGTTCAGACGACGACCAGGGAAATACTAAGTAATTAGCTAAATAATTACTAAATTGTCAGATTCGTTTTTCAACAGGTATTTTCGATCTTATTATTTTCAAGATTGTCCCAATATTAATTATAAATTTTAATAACAGGTAACCCAAAGTCGGAGATCTACGTCTCTTTAATATAAATATCTCTGCAGATTAAACATTCTGTGGAGGCTTGACTACTCGGATCCTGGGCTTGTCTTTTGCTTGTCTTTCTCACACAATTAACGCAAATGGCCGCAATTTGCTCGTGGTGGCAGGGACAAACATTTGCTTAAAACTCGGTAATCGCTCCATTGTTGGATTTCCCGCAAAACCACCGCCGGTGGTGAAGCACTAGAGTGCCCGAAAAGGAAACGGGAAATGCAGCGCTTTTCACTGTCTCCAAAGTAATAAACGCAGTCTAACCGCAACATTGCAATGACATTTTCAATTACCCAGCCGCGTTTGCATCTCCGTTCAGATTGTTTGTTTTCCCACCAGAGACTTCTGGGAGTTCTTGGAGTTCCGGGCCCTGCTTCTTGATACTTGGTACTTTGTAATTCTTGGCCCGAGGGCTTTGCTGCCCCATTTCGACGGCCGGGAAACTGGAACCCGAGAACACAAGTCTTCAAGAATCCAAGCCCTGCCGTGTAATTGGCTTAACAAGTCTTCCAAGCGACCGCAGAAATTGTTAAACTCGCATTAGCTGACAGGGCCAACACACACACTCATGTTTGCCAGCAGTGTGCACAGTTATTACACCTCACTGAGACCATAAAATATACTTTAATTAATTCCCGCTCTGTGTAATTACAGTTGCTTTTGTGGCACCTTTTCTTTTTCGCAAATCTCATTCGCTTTTCTTGTTGATTTATTGCGGCTTTTGTTTTTTGACAAGCGTCAAAAAGAGTCTCCAACAAACACAATCCCCCTCTCCGCGACCACATTAAATTTGATTGCTTTCTAATTTATTGCAGCATTAAAAGTTGACCCACAGACACAGAAACAGAGGGCTGCTGAGCGACAGAAAGAGACGGGGCGAAAGAGGCGGGAAGTGAAAAGCGGCCAACAGAATGAAATTCGTCCACCAGCATTTCCCTTTTGTAATTTCCTTAAGCCGGCGAGAACTGAATTGAATTTGCCGCCCAAACAATAATATTTGGAAAGCTGCCCAGCTTTGTGTTTTCTGTGTGTTTGCCAGTTGGGAAGAGAAGAGCAGTGATGTAATTTAACGATTTGAACCTACATATAAATTTAGGACGTGTAAAACAATAATCTGATTTTATTGTACGGTTTTCCTAGAATTACTATATATATTTGTATGCTTAAAGCGAGGCAAAACCATTTACTTTAATACTGAAAATGGTGATGAAAATAATTTAATAGAAGGACAGGAAAATTATATATTCATGAAAATCTTCAGCAAATGTTGTATTGATTTTGAGAAAAATTAATTTGGGGATAGATTGAAGAATTTGAAAAAGATTATTGGTTTAAAAGTCTTTTCATACAATCATAAATCTGTACTTTAAACGCTTGAAGCAAATACAGGGATGAAAAGATATCTTATCTTAGACCAGCATTTATTGTATCGATGGTCTTCGATTGACACCCAACCCAAGCTGGTGTCGAGAAGCTGAAATAATAAAACGTTTCAGAAGCATTGCAATCGCTATCGAGCGAAATACGGTTATTGCCAGCTTATATCTACGGATGGTGGGGTTTCGCTACATATCTGTATCTATAACCGCCTGTGAGCACGTACATTTTTCTCGTTTTTCTTTTCGTTTTCGCCAGTGGATCTTTTACATAAATGTGGGGTGGGCAATGCAATGTTTTACCTTTGCATAATGTCGCGTTGATTGCTCCACGTTATACGTACAACTGCGACGAAATAGCATTTTCCCTCTCTGTCCCGCGCGCTTCTCTCTCACTCGCACTTCAATTTAGCTTCTTTTTGTGGATTTCGGACAGTCGTGGGGCATTTGTGCATATTCAAATTTGGCTGAGCGACATTTGAAAATATGAAATAACCCACGAAAACAAAAAATACGAAACACACGTTACCCGGATTAAATGGAATTGTTGATGTTTTTGTTTTGGTCGCCGCTGCCTTTTGATTGCTGGACGTGGACGTGAGGTCAAATGGACGACCTGCCACTAACTAAGGTAAAAGGCAAAAGCACGCACTGCCAAAAATATATGGCCAAAAATTCCGGGCCCCACATGCTGACCAGCTGCCATTGATAAACGACATGGAAGCGTGTCACGGCGCACTGCAATTAGGCACTCTTTTTGCGTATTTTTGAAACCATATGGAGAGTGTGCTTCAGTTTCCAGTTGCCAACTATTCCGGCCCGTCTCGAATTTTTTCAACCGCACGGCAACGACTCACGAAGCCAACTGAAACTGAAGTTGAAGCCAACTGACTGCGGCGTCAGCAGCTAAAAATCAGCGGAAGCGGCACATACTCTGTTTGTTGCATGTTCACAACTCTTTTGTGCAACCTGCTGTTGCAAGTTGCTGGAGTGTGGCCAACAGCAACACCTGCAACAGCAATGTAGAACGCCCGATGATAGCTCAATTGACCATATCTGTCTCATTTCATGAATGACTCTCGCAAACTGACAGACAAATATTCGCAATTAGTACTGGAAACCAAAATTGGGTTTGATTTGTAGAGCTCTGATTGAGCAGAGCTCGTATTTGCTCATAATCCAAAGCTCTAGATAAGCGTTTGCTAATTCAGCATTACTCTTTTTGTGTAATTGAAAGAAAAAGTTTTCTTTTATTTTAGGTATGTTAATACATGTGTGCTTTAAAGAAAGTCATGTCATAAAATGTCTTGTTCTTATGAATTTATAACCTTAGGTTCATACGTAATTTACAAGGGAAGAATTACTGCCAACAAAATAGCTGCAATTTTAAATGAATGAGCTGCAGAAAAGGCAAACATGCAATGCAGATTTAGTTCTCCCTTATTTTGCTTGTGTAAAATAGAATTATGTAAAGCAGAGTTTTACGATTTCTACGTCTCAAGTAAGATATCCCGATACTGAATAGACAAAAAGGGCATTGAAAATTCGGTCTGCTGCTGAAAGTGTTCTATTTCCCAATTTGGCTGCACTGACAGCCTTCGCTGTCGCTTGATGCATGCAATTAATCCGCGCTAAAGCTCCGGGCCAAGACCGTGGCCATGTCCATGTCCATGTCGGCGTACATGCGCGTATCCATAGCCACATCCCAGGCCCTATCCATATCCATATCCACAGCCATGGCTGGTGAAACCTAAGCCCGATCCCTACATCATTGTTTTTGGCCAAATGTCCAGTAGCCCACGTCCATGTCGACTTTTTGTTTTGTTCGCTGCCGCGCTTGGAAAACTTTTTACGCACATATGAGCACGCTTCCGTCCGTTGCAGCTGCAATTGCTGATGCGATGTTGATGTTGCTGCTGCAACAACGACAGCAACAACTGCAACACTGCACTCTGCCCAATTCAGTTGGGCAAACAGGGATGTGGACTTAACTTTGGGCGATGGCCATGCGAATGACTTGCTTTGATGATGCCCGTGCTAATGGAATTTCAGATGAGATGTGGCTGTTGGATGGGAATTGAAAGTTTCCAGCCATAAGCAACAGCAACCTTTAAAGTTGTGGCTTTAAATAACCGAAATACTTTACGGCTGTTGTTCAGGTTGAACAACCTTGACACTTTTATTCGAGTTATGCTTTATGTCGGTGGTTTTTGCACTTGTTTCTTTTTGTTTAGCCACATTTGTTTCTTGCCGGCTACTAATTAAATTTATTTCGCCCTCCCACAGTGAAGGTAAAGAGCCAGGTGGCAGACCACCAAGTCAATGACTGCTCACAATGCTCAGGCAGCGTGTATCCGCCAGATGCGAGTACCTCATATAAACTATTTGCCTTCATCGTTTGAGGTGTCTAAATAAATCACGGACCGCGTTTGTTTGTCCAATTAATTATGCTAATTAGGTCATCAGTTATTAATTGCAAAAAATTCAGTTGTTTGTGGTTTTAATATAGCTATCAGTTCATGAAAAAAACATAATTCACCGGGCAATGAGCTAATAATGATATAGGTCTAAACCAACAAGGGAGCATACACATACATTAATTAGTTTTATCAAATTACATATTATGTTTGATATAACCGCATAACCGTTAGAGACGCGCTCATTATGGTGCGGATTTAACACGCCCTCAGTTTTCCCAGCTTTGGGCACTTGCCTCAATTTCCACGCGTTGCATGCGGCGATGACGTTAGATAAACATTTCCCTACCTGCATAATTAAAAACTTTATGGAATTTTATTAATTTGAGAGAGCATGAAAAATAACTGTCCTATTTTCTGCATTCCAGGGCGACCCAAAAAGTAGATTTATCGTTGGGAATAATTAAAAAAGAAAGCTTAAAGTTGAAAATTTATGCATTTGGAGAAGATTGTTCGATTGCTTTAGATCCCCAAAATGTCTGCTGTGGCTGGAAACATTTCTCTGCTTGCTTGGAATGTGCAATAAAGTCAAAATTACGCAAATTGTAAAACAAGAATTATGCTACGAAAAAAACAAGTTGGGCTGGTTAGCATCCGAGACCGGAAAATTAAATCACTCAATCGAACTGTAAATACAATAAGTGGCTGAGGCCAAAAACAGTTGCCCAACAAAAATATTAAATGGAAAACGGTCTATTGTTGATCTTGAAATAAAACAAGATTAGTGCTAGGAACTATAATTTATCAATTTAACTTTTCCATCAACCTTTGAAGTTCTTAGTCATATTATAGATTTCATATAGCAAAGGTAGGTATCTCTAAATGCTAGCTACTCGTAATTAAAAAAAAACGCAATTTTGATAAGAAATGTTTATAATTAAAGATAGCCAGCTCTGTTGTCAGCCATAATTTTTATTTACGGAATTGAGTACCTACAGCGTTATTATTTAAATATCAGCCACTTAAAGTGATATCACTATAAACAAAAAAAGTAGAAATCTCTGATAACCAGGGGGAACTTAACAACGGTTAAACTGAAAAAGTTATCTCATCGCTCTAGGAAGGCATTGACATTTGTGTACTCTTGAGACATGGTTGTGCCATTATTTTTTTCTGGGTACATAATGTCTAATCAGGTAGAGCTTACCACAATTAGCCGACTCGCGTTGCATGCTTCACCGCCATATTTTAATTTGGGGTTTTCACTGCTACGGTTGAGCAACCCGACGAGTGTGGCGATGAGCTATGAGGTATGCAAAACATTAGAGCGTCTGGGAATATTAATTACTTAGCCATACACTCGACTATGCAGAGGAAAGTCATTGACTTTAACAACAACACTTTGACTAGCCAGGTGGCAATTCGTGTGGCATGCTGCCACAAGATAAACCGCTTTGGCCCGAATGCAATTTATGAACTTGCAAATCTGATGGGAACTGCATTCGTGTGAAGTCATCTCGTTGGCAGTCAAATAAGTCATCTAAACAGTACACGTGTGGCATTTATCATATTTAAGACAGTGGCGTATAACAATGAATATAGATCTAGCATTCATTTAGCATCTTGTATAATTAATTACTGTAATGTTAAATATGCCAAAATTTTTGTTATTAATTAGCTGAGGGGCCAAACTTTATTTAATATTCTTATCCCATTTAAATACAGTCAACATTGGTTCAGTTCAACATATGTAGTTTATTATATAAAAGTTAAAGTTCAGTCATAGACAAAGGCTACTCAAAGTCTTTCACAACAAGATGCTTACACTAATTTGGGTTCATATCACTTATGTTGTAAAGATATATACAATGGCAAAGGAAGCGACATTTAGATGCGCTCCATTCTCAAGTAGATGCCACCCACGGTGCCCAAGACAATGGACATGGGGGTGTAAGTGAGTGGGATCTCTGTCTTGTCGCAGACGGACAGCTTGAAGCGACTGATGATCTGGGCCAGACCGATGCGGACCTGCATCTGGCCGAATCGCATTCCGATGCAGTTCCGCGGTCCATCGCCGAAGGGCAGCCACTCCACCGAGTCGCGGGCGGCCACTTTCTCCGCCGAGAAGCGGTCGGGATCGAAGGTCTCGGGATCGGGATACAGATCTTCCTCGCGGTGGTAGGCACAGGCGGGTATGAGCACCTGAGTGCCCTTCTCGATCACAAACTTGGGATTACCCGGCACCACGTAGTCGTTGAGGGCCTTCCTCTCCAGATGGGGCACCAAAGTGTAGAGCCGCAGGGTTTCTAAAAATCACCATTTAAGGAAATAAATTAGGAAGCCCATTTTAAAGGTACACCAAGTACGGGAACCCACCTGAGATGACCTGATTCAGGTAGCGCATGGCCTTGACCGACTCATAGGTCAGCTGGCCCTCGTGCTCCTCCAGCACCGTCTGGATCTCGTTCCTCAGCCTGTCCTGGATGCCCTGGTTCTGGGCCAACTCGTACAGGCAGTAGCTCATCGTGGACGAGGAGGTCTCGAAGCCGGCCACATAGAAGACGAACACCTGGGCCGCCAACTCACCAATGTCCATGCCCTCGATCACCTCACCGTTGTCCAAAGTGACTTTGCCCTTCTGCTTCAGCTCGATGAGCAGGTTCATGAAGTCGTTCCTTTTGAAGTTCTCCTTCTCCCTGATGGCGATGGTGTCGTTGACCAGGCGCATGAAGAACTGGTGCACATCCTCGGGCATCATGCGCATCCTCAGCTTCCTGGCCAGATTGGGGAAGCTGAACATGAACATGGTGAGCAGTTTTCCGTGCCGCAGCTCAGTGAACACCTTCTGTCCCATGGTGCGGAAATCGGAGACGGGATTCCTGAGGGTGTTGCACTCAATGCCGAAGGCGCAGGTCCCGATGACATCGGTGGTGAACCGGGCCATCAGTTCCTTGATCTCGAGCACGGCACCGTTCTGGGTAGCCGGAACCTGCTCCGTCATCACCTTGACGAACTCCTCGGACACCTTGATCACGGTGGGGAACATGTACTTCATCTTGCCGGAGGTGAAGGTGGGCGACAGCCTCTGGCGCATGTCCTTCCACTTCTTACCGTCCAGATTGAACAGGTGCTGGGTCAGGGGGTCATCCTGGCCGTTGTGGAACTGGCCGCGGTCGGCAAAGTTGGAGAAGTCCTTGATCAGTATGTTCTTGGCCAGCTTGGGATCCACAATGAAGGCGGCCGGCTTGTGCAGGAAGTAGAAGCCCACGAAGGGGTTGCCGCTCTTCCGGTACTTGTTGTAGTAGTCGTAGAAGAAGTCGTGCATCACCCGATCCTTTCGGAATCCGACCATATTCCCGTACAGAGGATGCGGGGTATCGTGGGCCACACCTCGGCGCTTCCAGTAGCTGAAGTTGCGGTGGTACAGGTAGGCCACCAGCGATGAAATCGCCAGCACCAAATAGATTAGAACAAACATTTTGTTTGGTCAGTTTACCGGTATCGTTTTGCTTTCGTCGTGCTCGACCTACGACGATTTACTGATCGCCACAACAAGTTCGGGGCCCATTTTATACGGTTCGGGAACAACGCACTAGCACGCGACCACAAAGCGTTAGACGCCACATTTTGCGATTGAAAGTATAAGCATGACTGTGCCAATATTTAGCGGGCAGTCATGATTACAGGCCCCGCGATAACACAAGGCTCTTTTTAGAAGCCTTTCAAAGAGCGCTTTCTAAGAGATTTTCAAACAATCTCTGGACGCTTCACTGTACGTGTGTGTTCGGGAATCAAAATATAAACAAGCGATAACGAGATTGTTGTTAAACAAACCGGTTGGTGATCACATAAAATAAGACATTCGCATCAGGTTTTATATCACTCACTACAAAACAAAACAAAACAAGGGTGATGAACTGGATGTGTAGTATTTAAATCTTGATGATACAGGTTAATAAAACTGGTATTTACAGAGGATAATAATAGCATTGATTTTTAATTGATATAACTGCCTGCCATTAGAAAATTAGAAAAATATCAAAAGAGTCCATTAGGTGTTAATTTGATATTAAATAGTAATAGATTTTACTTCCTAACTTTATATTCCATTGGCAGTAAAAAATAGTCGAAATTAAATACGTTAAAATAAGAACCGCTTTCTCCTCCGCAGATTAAACTTAAAGTAGGCTTTAAATGGTATTAAAGTCTATTAGTTAATAGGGGTAGAATGCTCTCTATATTTCTCAGCCTCGCAATTGTGTCTGCTTAACGCTCCGGTTGAGCTTAGGGTTAACCGCTCCCCGAGTCGCGTTTATAAAGGAGTATAAGCCGATTAGGATGTGCATTTGTCGGGGGAAATCCGCCTTTTAAGTTGGCGAGGGCAAAGGCAAGGGGGAGGCGGGAACTCTAACGCGATTATGGCGGATTTATTTTCTTCAATCGGAGGAAGCGAATGCGCTGGCGAGGCAATATTGACCTTGTGCATCACTTATCACAAGTTGCTTGAATTATTGGCATAGCAAAGAGTCCTTGTCTCCCGGAGTGTCCTTGGCTGTCATTGTCTTAAACAGTGAGTGCTCCTGTGTGGCTTACATGTGCAACTGACACTTTTATATCCCACTTTTATATCCCGGAGTCTGGCGTAAGGAAGTGAACAACGGATTCGATTCAATTCTCCCATGTCAGTCCGAATTTAAGTCCTCCATCCCCTGACCTTGAGTTGCCTCGGTCTTGGCCTCGGCCCACATGTGTCACTGGGTTTTCACACAAAACTCGCATTAAGATGGGAAACAAAAATAATGCAGCACACAAGAAAAAACAAAGAAGCGTCTAGAAAAACTAGATTGCCTCCTCTGGCTGCACTTATGCGCTAAATAAAAATGCAAATCTAAATGCAGCTAAAGAGCCGAGCAGAACCCTAGAGGCAAAAACACAAAGCAAATCCCCACACCGTCGTCTGGGCACAATGCAGATTCTTGAAGAATGCGCTCGAGGGTTCTCCAAGTCTAAGTCGACATCTGACTGCTGATGTCGTTGCCGCAGTTTCTCCAGCTGGATGCTTGGATTGTCGGCTCCGGGGAGACAGCTTGGCTAATTGCAGATGCGACTGCGACTGGGACTTCCCAGTTCTTGTAAACAGTCAACTAATTGTTTGCTCTGCAGAGGTGTTGGGCCCCGAAGACAGCTCTTTCAAATGCAAATCCAATTCCAAACCCCGATGATGCTGCATGCTACATGCTACATGTGTTCGGAAGGCGCACGCCTTGAATAAATTAGTTTTATTTGTGTCTGGCTGACGGGCCAATCTAAACAAATCGTGAGCACAGAGCCGGGTCTCTGCATTTCCTGTGGGGTGACAAAATGATGTTGCGTCTGCGTATTATGTAAATCACAATAAGAAGCCAAGGCGAGGTGGGGAATATCCCCTACATCAATACAGAAGCACACCATAATCATCATAACACTGGTGATAAGATTTTAATAGGCTTTAAGCCGCAGGCGTGTATAAACCTACTCCAATTAAAGCAGCCCCAGGCAGTGGGAATAATTAGCTGACAGGATTCCGTTTTGTCACAGGATGACAATGGCGAATTCCTCTTGCGGGATTTTTCAATCACAATCAGGCACTTGAAGACTCCGATGGCTGATTGAATTTCTGGGCTGACATATTCGAGCCGTGATTGTGATTGTGTGGCAGCTGCTGCTCCGTATTGATTCGCTGCTGATTGTGTGCCAAGGGCTTTGTTTCATCCCAGCATTGGCATCTTCGGGGGAAGCCATAAAAAGGCATAAGAGACGCGATGCACTGACAAGTGCTGGGTCAATGTGTCGAAAGAGAGAGTAACCCCCTATATTCCCATATATTCGCTGTCCATCAGGCGGAGTGACACAAATTGTCACTCCAGCCAGTGGCCAAGTTGCAAAATTGTTGACTGACTTGTGTTGTTGCAACTGGAGCGGCAGAGCAGCAGAAGATGCCGCTTTTACGAGTGGCGATAAAACGCTCGCTTGGAAGTACCGGGAATATGTTTTATATGCCCATCTGAGCCAGATGGCACCACGTGGCGTATACGCACTTTAAACAAAAATTGCCTTTTGTGCCGTGAATACAGAGCAAGTATACGAAGTAGGAAGCAGAGCTTTGGCCAAATAAATGACAAAGCCATTTGTAATGAAATATTAAAGCCGGCAGTAAAATGAAAGGCTGAGCGGAGGGTGGCGGTAGCCACAGCGGGAAATGGGCCGGAAAACATCAGCATAATATCCATAATACTTATTCATTATGGTCTAGGCATATAGGCAGAGGCAGAGGCATAGGCGTAGGCGTATTCGCATGCCCCATCTCAATTCCCATTCGGAATCGTGGGCGGTTGTAGCGTTAACACAAATTTTATTGGACCCACAGCACATAAACATGATGCTGGCCGGGCATTAAGAACGTCGAGAGCACATGGCCCAAAGGCAGAAAAAAATCAATACTCATATGTACGTTCTCATATGCAACCCAAAGAATTGCAGTTTCCCCAGGTTCTGCACAGGTGGCAGAATTTAAATGGATTAAATAAAATATATCAAAAATCAATTATTCAAATGAAGTCGTATTCACGCATCAAATTAAATTTCCACTTAAATGAAAACAAAGTGTGTTTTCAAAAGGAAATTAATTGCTTTCCACTGCCCGTTTTGGCAAATCCAGTTTTGGCCCACAGCAGCAGAAATAAATTCAACTAGATCTCTGCGATGACAACGGCAAATCACGATTGCCCTTTATGGGCATGTCGAGAAATAGGGAAAGAGTATGGCTGTGTATGAAAAAACCTTTTGAAGTTGTCACTGCTGAAGTGGCTGTTTTCTGTTGGTTTGTCGGTTTGTTGGCTTGGCTTTTGCTGGCAACTTGGCTTTCTCCCTGAAAAACCCCCAGCAGCCCCTCTTTTCTCTGCCACCGAAATGTAAATTGGGCAAAACGCATGCTGAGCAAACTTTTCCCAGAGCAGAGCAGAAAAAAAAGTCGATAAGAATATTGTTTAACTCAATTCCGCACGCGAATCTGAACTCAACCCGATTTGTTGATAAAAAGCGAGAGTGAAAAGGCGAAAAGGCAACAGAACTGTCGAATCTCAACCCCTAGGCAATCAAATTGAAAATTCTTCATTGTGCAAATATTGATTTTGTTCGCTGCATAAAGTTTTATGCGCCGAAAAAGAGAGATCCCGAGTAGCAAGTAGACCAGGGCGAAATTTGCTTTCTAATTTCCACATTTCCACTACGATAGGCAAAAAGTTAAGAGCCATTCCTCATCTGAAGCTCTGAACTTGGACTGCCACAAGTGTCTGGGGCAAGGTCGAGTCGAGACTCTTTTTGTGGCAGTCTGAATTCAGAGTTCTGTGCCTCGGCTAATTCAACGCCTTCTGTCTGCCGAGAGTCGTGTGCTCCGAGTTTTATCTTTTTCTCCAACATATTATTTATGGTAATCGACATCAAATGCTGCCATTAAGCTTATTGCCATGGCAAGCGGCAAAAACGTTTTCATACTTTTTTGTAGCCGATTTTTGTTGTTGTCTTCTTCTCATTGCTTCTGCTGTTTATAGGCTTCGAGAGCTAAAAATACTGTACATCTGCAGGGGTAAATTCTAAAAAGGAGGGGAAATAAATATCCCAGGTCGAACATTTTTATACCCTGTTATTTATTTTAACTAGTAATTATAACTTGAATAATTGCCAATAATATACATAGTTTTTGTAGTATCTTATTAAATTGATCTTTGAAGTTCCATCTTCTTGACCTTGCCATATGTATCGTTCTTTTTTTCAGGGTATTTCCCCAGAATTTACATACAGTGTAGGCGATTTTTCATATTTGGCGCGTTTGAATTTTTTAACGCGAACGAATTTATGACAAGCACGTCCCTCCGTTCAAACTCTCCCTCTCGTTCGACCATAATTTGTTTGTATCTCATATTTGATTTTCGCTATACAGACTGGTTGGTGTGAGAGTATGTATCTTTTAGCACCTTATCAGCAGATTATTTGCATAATTTGAGAATATTTTTCCAATCGAACAAAGGCTTTCCGCGAATCGCTGTTCGGGCTTATCTAATGAACCACTGGAGAGAGAGTGAGAGATATTGAGGGAGGGAGAGATAAGAAATCTCCTTATTCCAATGGCGCGTGTTCAATCAGCCGTGAGTGTATGCTAATTAAATTATTTTTAAGTTATTAATGGAAAAACTCTCACGATAAAGCTGAATTCATCACATTTTATTTCGGTTCATTTACCATTATAAACTTATTTAATTACAAACTTTTTCTATGCAAATGCCAACTTTTGTGAGAGTGGGAAAACTTTAAATTGCCTGGTTGATACCTGAAAAAAAAGGATAAATGCCTCGCGAGCTCTGGGGGTTCGGTAAATGAAAATTATTAAAACCACTTTTCTGCTGATTAAAATCATTATATGTGCATACACGAACATATTTGTTTAGGGGCCCCGGAAAACAACTTTTTAACCGCCCACTCAAACTCGCTCCCTCTCTTTTTTTCGCCCAAGCTATTAAAGATTATTAAAAGCACCTTGATCTCGGGAGGAGGAGTTCCCTTCGGAGTCGAGTCGCATGCTGTTGCTCCGTGGCACGCAGGCAAAACTTATTGATCCATAAAAAATATAAAAACACGAGCATTATTAGTGTATCAGCTTTGGGATGCGATGAGGTGGGTGGGTTATGCAGAGGTGGAACCAGAAGGGGTTATTATGTGCATTCAGTCGCTTTTGACCTTTAGCAAGGTTGTACGGCTAGCCCAATTAAGTGGCTGCAAAGTTGCGCCGGGAAAAGCCCCGATAAACATAAATCTAAATCCCAATATGTATTTCTCCTCATCGGTTGTGGGCAATGTCTTCATCGGTAGCCACTCCACAATCCACCGGGCATTATCAATCTTTCATCTTCATCTGCATTTATTATAGCGATGCCGCCCCACCGCCCTCCTTGGGTATTCATTTATGCATTTTATTGGCTCTTGGCTAACCTGTAGCACCATCAATCAACTCAATGGCTATTCAGCTCAGCTCTGCCTTTTGTGTGTGTTTATATTTATTATTTCGACTGGGCCGTTGGTTTGGCTCTCATAAGTGGTTCATCTGATGTCCAAATCTCCCTGGCCAACAGCAGTTTGCAAATAATTTTAATCAATTATGCAAATCGCATTTATTGGGCCGTGATTTATGCGATTTCGGGGATCTGAGTATCTGATGATGGGCGAAATGAAGAGAGATGAACTAAACCGGGCTAAGTTGACAGAAGGAACTATTACTCATCTTTCCGGAAGTGCTGTGTGTGCCCACTCATTTACAAGTACATATACCACATACCGATTTCAGGTTTACCCAACTGATTCCGAAAACAGTTCTCCCCCAGGCAGATAAGAACCGAGATAAGAACCCTATATGGCAAATGTAAGTTCCAATACGCACCAGAAAAGTATTCCTATCCGTATATCCGAATGGCAACCTTCCAGGCAGATTTAATGAATGAAATCAACTTGAATTAAATTCCTCCATAATTCGGCTTTGTTTCTGTTTCTCGGCTGTTTTGTTTACACACACTGCAGCTGTTGAATCACCGCAACCACAATTACAATCACAAAAGCAAGAAATGTATTTTTCGACTGCCTTGCTTTGTTTCGCTTTGAAGGTAATAAATTTTTAACACAATTGCATTGCATAAACAATTTCAAAACTGCACTCGAAACGGGCTGTATGCCTGTATGGATTACATTTTTAGCCAGCGATAGCCAAAGAGCCGTGATTTAACTGGTTTATTTTCGATGTTTGCGAATAGAACGCCCTCGCGCGAATCTTTCAGCGCAGCCCACGCACTTTTCGCGGCATCGCCAACTTCGAGTTGCCGAAGATACACGGGTTTCAGATACGGATGGTCTGCGATGGAGGTTGAGATATAGGTAGAAGTGGAAAACCGAACCTCGGCGAGCCAGCGATCGAGTTGTGCGCCGCTGGAGAGCTCGGCACGTATTAATTTCTGTGGCAGCGCTAAAGTATCCGAAAGATACATTCCGCTGGTCGCGCACAAGCGCATATGTGGGCAACTTCGCTGCCGACGTCGCCAACTTGTTTGACAGAAAGGCAGAAAGGCAGGGGCAAATCCAAACACCACACAAACGAGAGCACAGATCTGTTTTTCCCTTCCCCCTGGATGTTTATATTTACGCATCCCGAAACCTGGTCGGGGGCCACAAGACGATCATGATGGGTCAAAAACAGTGGCGGGGGATGTCGTAGCATTTAATGAAAAGCGACAAATTGTTGTCACTGCCGTCTCAAGTGGCAGGCAGGCCTCGTTTATCTCCCCACTCGACTCTCGACTCGGCGGCTTTGTTTAGCGGTAGACTGGCGGACAAGTATCTCTTCTTTATTCATTCTAATTCTGGCATCCGACAGCGCTTCTCTGAAAAACGCTAATTACCAGCTGCCAGCTGGCTGTGTGAATCTGTGTTTAATCGCCAAAATGATTGGATTTAACTGAGTCGAACAGTAAAGAACCTTTGGTCAGGTGGTCAATCATCGTATGCAAATGACTCCCATCAAAATTGGACAAGATTGTTGTGTTTTTTGGCTAATTAAACGTTTCGGCGAACGGGGCCACAAGCAGCATTCAGCTCGAATGAGGTTAGCAGAGAGTGTCTTTGATTTGTATAGACATCTCTTGACCAAAACTTCCGCCTCAAAATGCCTTGGCGGAAATGGCTCTTACACATCGAAATGCTTTGAGCCGTGGTTTTGCGGCTTCTGCTCCCTATTTGTGGGTTCTGTTTAATCTTAAAGTTTTCACCGCCTCATCCAATTATTTATGGGGGCAGCCAACAATGGAGCTGCTTTCTCCCAATCTCGGGGAGATCATAGCATAGATGAAATAGCTGCGCTTTAGTACCAACACCTACGAAGTGTTTGAACTTGAATATCGATGCCTGGGTGGCCGTGGCCCGAAAAACTGGCTCAGAGGAAGCCCCTCGCACACCTGCGATGTACCTGCACCTAATGATGTATAATTACATGTGGGTCTAGTTTCAGTTTCCAAAGCATTTTCATTAGTTTTATGGCTTTTTTGCCTGGTCGGGCGTTGTGGCCATAATTATATAATCATTTTAATTGGATCCGGCTATGTTTGCGGCCACGACGACGGCGTCGTCGACACATAACAAAGATTAATCGTGGCCATGTCGACGGGTCAGGAGACAAGAAGTCGAGCTAGACGAGAGCTCAAGTACGAGCTATCTTGCAGATACATTGTTACATGCACACGCCCACCAAGGTCGAATGGGAGGGGCGGTGTTGGTGCTTCCCGAATGCAGATTCCATTGCAGAATTATTTTCAATTATAACGGCGCTCTGCAGGTGGAACGCCCCCGCTTGACTTGACTTTGCCGCAAAGAGCTTTTGGTTTTCAAGTTTCCCAAGACATTTATAAATTAGTTGCAATTTGTAACTGCTTCAGCTGTTTTTGCTACTTAGGGCTGCCTGCTCGCATTTCATTAGTCCCAAATTGGCTCCATCACGTGATTGTGTGTGGATCGCGCAAGAGGGGGTGATCGGTGACCCCGAGCCAAAGGGGAAATCCAAACAACTTGAAACGGAACTCGCACCAAACGGCAGCCGGCGGAGGCTCACATTCTCACATAAATTTCCAGCCACACCGGAGTGGCTTCTATTTTTGACGAGCACCTCTCGCATATCGCATCTCGCATCACTCTAAATTAATTGCGGGTCTATTGATAGGTCGCTTCTTTGTCTTAAGGGCCAGACTCTCGGCACTCAGCGGATACGTATATTTATACGGCTCTGGAAATTGGGCTTTGCGTGTCGCACGCCACGCTGGTCCACGAAAATTCATAACACTCGCCGGCATACGAAGTGTCAAAAACGGTTTCATAGGCCCGAAACCAATGTGAAGTCGCCTGAATAATGTATTATCGTATAATTGCGGAGGGTTGCCCGCAGGAGAATCCATTTCGGGGCTTTTCCCCAAGCCAATCAGGTGGAAAAATTATGCAAAAACAAATAAAAGGCAGCGGGAAAATGGGGTCAACGAAGATGTCAACAGGAAGCAATCGCTTTGATAAACCGGAGCAAATGGAAAGTTTTATGTAAAAACGGTTCTCTCCTATATTTAATGCTACATACTTCTTAAATTTTAAAATCTATATTTTACTTATTGAATGTCTTGGAATAACACAGTAATAATTTATGTGGCTATTCTTCGTAATTCTACATTACTTTTGGGAAAAACAAAAAGTGTAATCCACTTAGCAAATATTTGAATCACTTTTTTTTTAAATCGTCAAAACATTGATTTTATAGATTTGATCGGCAATCGATTTAAAATTGTAAATCAAACTTAGCACTCCATTTTCGTACAATTCCTTGCTTTGTCTTGAAACATAGGAATAAGGTTTTATGCTAAAGCCGGAAATTGTTTTGTGTTTTTTCGTCGTTATTCTCTTCGAAGATATTGCTCAGACGACTGTTTTCAACTTTAAAGAGTGCATAAGAACACCCAGATATGAGTAAAAGATACATCCATATTTACGGACAGGTAAATTTTTCAGGTGGAAATTTCCCAGAAAAAAAGTCACATTGATGGAATTACAACCGAAGCAGAGGACGAAAAGGAATCGAAGGATGTTTGCTCCTAATGAAATCATCTTGATTAAAGGAATCCTTTGCGGGCGATACCAAAAAAGGATTGCACAACATTTCGTCCTCATCTGCAGCACCATCTTCACACCACCTTGCCACCAGTACCGCCAGTGCAATTTCCATAGCCACACACTCGACAGGCCACAGTCACCATATTAGTAAGTTGAGGTCAGGCATGCTGCCACTGTCATGCCCCACTTAACCATAAATACTCGAATTTCCATAGATGCCACTCGTGCACGGAGAGGACTACGAGGACTGCGAGGACCACGAGGAGGAGCTTCAGACCAATTCGGACCATTTCAATTAGCAGACACCTCTCTGAACAGGCCCCGCAAAATGAACTCGGCCATAGCGAAATGCACATGTATTCGTGGATATCGCTCACATATGTACTCGAACATTCAGAACATTGGGCTGGAAAAAACTGCTGGCCAATATCCTGGCGGAAATTAATGTTGCTGCGGCAAGCACAATGCCAGAAGGAGGGAAAGAAAATGGAACGGAAAAAAATGGAATGCCACAAACCGATATGATTCGCCGGAGGGGGTGGAAGGCGCGGGGGATGCCCGGCCTTTCGTCGTTGTCAGCAGTTCCTTTTTCCTGCCGTTCACATCGATGGATAAAGAGAAAGGGGGCTTAGACCGCAGCCCCCACTCGAATAGCCCCCGTCAATAGATTCCACAACCGAAATCGAAATCCCCGGAATATTGAACGTGCACAGCGCATCGGATATGCAACACGGCGGGGATGCCGCATAATCGCTATCAATTATATTGCTCAGCACGGCATTGTCTGGCACTCTGGGGCACTCTGACAGAACCTCCTGCTGTAAACAAGGACTTACCTTGCCATCGGCATCGGCATGGGCATGGTAACGGACCTCCAGCGACCCACCGAGTACCGCATACCAGAAACGGCCCTGTTCTCCGGCGCGAAAAACTGAGGGATGAGAGGATGAAAATTGTTTGTTAGCCACCTCCGCTGCATGCCAAGTCCCCTCAGTCCAACACTCACGAGTCACTCCCTTCTCCAGGTCCTCGTAAAATCCGCACATGGCCAACTGCTGGAGCGCAGATCCCGGAAGGCGACACAGTGGCTCAACGCGACGCAGGCGGCACGAAATGAGCTCCACATCACGCAAGTTTCGGTCGCAAGGACTGAAAAAGGGTATTTTTATTAATGGTTGGGCATCATTATTTACTCTTAAAATTTACGGGCATGTTATTTAGGCTCTAAGCAAACAAATATTGACATTTTAAATTTAATATTAGGTACTTTTTATTCCAATTAACAGAAATTTTCCAAAAAAACTTGTTAGAACAACAAAAAATAAAAAAAATTAATTTTATTGTTTTATTCAGGTGGAATTTTTTAAATTTTTAAAAAGGCAGTGATATTTTATTTCTATAATTTAATTATGGACATTTAACGGGAATTAATCTAATTTGTGTTGCGTATCGTTTAAATTAAATTTATTTTATCACTATGGACGGCAGTCCATGTAGTGACGAAGCGCACCAGGAGAGTGTGCGAAGGCGACTACTATATATACACGAAAAAATGAAAATCTACTGTGATGGTCCGATCATAATGAATGATACACCTATCGAAAGGTATTGCGAAAACTAACAGGATTGCATACCAAGACTTTAAGAAAATCAATTGGCTTGGGAGAGAGAGCGGTGAAAGTGAAAAAGTGAAAATTTCGAAATTTGGAGCTGTTAGGGCCGGTGGGGATAAATGCCCCCCTCGCAATGTTTTAGTTGTATTCCTTTTAAAAATACCCGTCGAATGAGGGGTCATTTGTCAAAATCCGACGCTCCGTTCAAAAGTTATAGCCAAAATAAGATTTTCTTCGTCTTCCCAAAATTAAAATTTAATTCTGTTTGTCAGTTTGTCAGTTTGTCAGTTTGTCAGTTTGTCCAAAACATGTTTTTTAAGTTTTGAAAATTTTATATGACGTTCATCACATCGATATAAAAAACTTTTGTTCTACCACTTTTGGAAAAACTCGCTAGTTTAGCGGGAAAACAGCTATAAATAGCTAAAATTAGGAAAGCCGTAACTTCTATACTACTAAAGCTACAGACTTGTGCTGCATCTCGTTTGAAAGGTATTTTTAAATGCTATAAACGCCACTTATATGTAATTTGTGTAAAAGTAATAGTTAAAAAAATATGAACAAAAGACAATTTTTTAAAACTTTTTTTTAGCTTTTTTTTTTTTTTCTCAAAAACGGCTCTAACGATTTTCTTTAAAACTTTAAACTGTATAGCCCTTGAGATTACTTAAATTTTGGTACATAGCACATTACTGTAAAAAGTCACGTTTAAAAGTTATTTTTATACGAAAATAGCCACTTTTGCCAGCTCGAACAATTAACGCTCCCTGAGTATTGAATTTTGTGTGAGGGTATCCGAACTGTACTTTAGGGTCATGGAATCAGTAAATTTGCACTTAAGAGTTCCATATAGGAATCTTTTGTTCTACGACTTTTGGAAAAAGCCGCTACTTTAGCGGGAAAAAGCTAAAAATAGCTAAATTTCGTTAGTTTGTAAGTTCTACACTACTAAAGGTACAGACATGTGCTATACCTCGTTTAAAAGGTATTTTGAAATACTTCAACGCCTTTTTAAATTAATTCGTTAAAATACAATAGTTTAAAAATTATGATTTATGACCAATTTAAATTTACATGTTTATATTAGCACCTATGAGTGCAAAAGTAAACAAACAAAAACTTCTGATATCAAATAAAAACACCTCTAAACGAGGTAAAAAACTAGTGACGAACGCACCATCAACATACAAAAGTTCTGATATCAACATTTGTGACGAAAAATTATTACACTCGTCATTAAATAGACTTTCTAATATTTTCTCATTCGGCACGCTGCAATAGAAAATGCCTGTGAAGGGAAAAAGGGTGGAATAGTTTGCTAGGGCGGGCCGAATGTGAAAATATTAGAAAGTCTATTTAATGACGAGTGTAATAATTTTTCGTCACAAATGTTGATATCAGAACTTTTGTATGTTGATGGTGCGTTCGTCACTAGTTTTTTACCTCGTTTAGAGGTGTTTTTATTTGATAGAAAACACTACCGGGAAATCCATAAAATTAATTCTTCACTCAAATTATGTTCTTTAAATTTGGGAAAAATAAAATAAAGTAAATTAGTCCTTGAGTAATAAATTCTGCGAATTGAGCCCAAGCTAGTTGAACAATAGACAGCAATAAAGCAAGAGGGAACTCAGAAAAGAAATATAACGAGTATTTTGCATTTATAATTTACTGACTCTATGCAAAGCACTGCACTTGGGATTTTTCTATTTTCGGTCGCCGGACAAGGCCATAAACTGAATAAAAAAGAGAAGCGATGGGAAAGCAAAGGAAAGTATTAGTTCAACAATAAACTCAAATTAAAAATTCCAGTGTCATTTGTGCATGGTTTGTGCGCGCATTAAATATGCAAATTCTATTTTTTCTCTGTCGTCTCTGTCCGTCTGTGTGCGAGTCAATTGAAAAATGAATAAATAAATATAAGTCTTTCCGGGCAAGCATCTGCAGGAAACGGAAGCCCACCCAGGAAAATGAGAAGAAAGGGAAACAAAAACAAAAAGTTGAAGCAGTGAAAGCCAAGCAGCAACTAATTGCATAAAATAAAAAGTTTAGCGGTGCAACCTAATAAACACGGTAGAATTCTTCTTTTAAAGACGGTTTTAAGTATCCGAAGTAAGTTAGTTTTCTAATCTTAAAGATTTTTTTTAATGTTTATGGCAAAATGAATAAAAAAAACTTTTTTTTAGTTTGTCAGTTTAATAAGTTCCATTTAGTTATCTTATATTTCTGCCGGTATTAATTTTCAACTTCTAGTGCCATTTTCCATTAAATTTATAAGGTATAGTAAAATAAATAATCTTTAGTAATTATACGATGTTGCAACTCTTTTGTATAAAAAAGTTACCAAAAGTATATCCTCTTTGTTGCCATGTTACCAAAAGTTGTAGACTTTATTTAAACGAACATTCGCCCACAATAAATCCATCAGGAGCCCCCACATTAAAGACTCCTTGCTGAGCTTCCGCCTAATTAAAAATTCCATAAAATTCTGAGAGAATGGGTAAGTCCGGGCGGAGGAAAGGAATCGAAGAAGGAGGTGGACCGGGTGAACAGGGTGAACTGCTCCAGCTTGCAGACAAAGGCTGCTTGCAAATCAGAAGTGAAACACAAGTTGGCCTTCGCCGGGGCATCATCTGCATTGAGGGCTACTTTTGCAGCGAGACGTCTACTTTTTGGCGCAGCCGTTGAACAACTTTCAGTTGGATAGCTGGCTGGCTGGCTGGCTGCTGGAGGTAAGCGGCTGTCTTGCCTGGCTCATACATAATTCATTCGCCAGTAGAAGCGGCAATTTCGGCAAACCAAGGAACGCCAACTGGGGGGATGATGCCGCCCCGGTGCCAACTGGGTTTCTGGGCTTGTCGTTAACCAAACAGTCGGGTCCTAAGTGCTATCGTGGGGGAGGGAAGGAAGGGAAGGGGTCCTCAGGGTGGACCAAAAAGCCGGAAGCGCGTTGGGGCGCATCCTAGGCAGAGGCAGCCAGCCAACCCGTGGCTCGTTGTTTATTATAATGGTTTTTGCGGTTTTTAGGCACACGCCCCGAAAGTTTAGTTTAGGAATTTTGTAATTGCCGTGCCGGCGATTCGTCAGCCTTAAAGATACCCGCTAAATTGCGGGCATACATTAAAGCCTGCTATCGCGGCACACGTGGCGTATGATAAATGTCTGGTGGCACTTGTGAGTAAGACGACTGTTCGCCGGAAGGCCATCAATATCAATTGCTGTCTGGCTTTGCCACTTTACGCTTTACGAACTGCGATTACCTTGCCTTTGCCAGGGATTCGTTCGCAGGATTCATTGGCTCTTTCGTTTGCATTTGTCCTTGCAAAGGTGTGGAGGTGTGCTTAAGCCCAGATCGCTCTTGATAAGCCGAATTACCAGGCCGCGTGACTTGCCCTTAAGGCTGCTGCTGCTGCTGCTGGGACCTGTGCCATTAATTCTGGCCCCAAATTAAATCATTTATTTTGTTAGGTTTCACTGAGTGCCAGGCCATTTGTATTAAATGCAGAATGACTTGCCTGCCGTGGGGGAAAAGTGCCGGAGCCATTAGGAAATGCTGAAATCGTTGCGAAAGTCATCTGGGAAAGGGATGTGATTATTAAGTTAGTTACGTTAGGTTCTGCAGCCTCGGCCGTTGCAACTCGGTGCTCCCTCTTTGAGCGGGGCAAACAAAAGGCAGCGAATTGCAAATATTTGCCGCAGGCACACAGCAAACTGTTTGCTTTAAGCCTTTGCCACTTGACCTTTCTTTTTTGCCGCTGCTGCGCGCAGTCACATGAGTGCCCGCTGACCCCTGACCCCTGCCTCCGTGCGGGAGAAGCGTTTAAGCGTTGACAGAGCATGAAATTCGAAGAGATTGCCCCGTGATTGATGGTGTGGAGGCGGACCAGGGGCAGTGGCACGCCCCTTTCGGATACCAGCAATGAAATATAAGGACACTCCGCAATAATACACAGAATGTGCCGCAGAACTGAGCAGTCGCTGGGTCGGTAATGGTGGCACTCACTCGTCAAGTGATTCTCCCAGCTGAAATCTAGCAAATTGCATCAAGTGGTTTCCTGTGAAGGAATGTGTGTTGGATACTCGACCATTTACGCTTGAACAAATTGATTTGGACACACAAAAAACGAGCAACGTTGATTTATTTGCAAAAGTTCATTCTTATTTGGATTTAAAATTATACATCTGGCTTTAGTGATATAATTGCATTATTAATAAACTGAAAACAGCTGCAAAAACACAAAAATCAATATATTCTTGAATACTTTTTCCCATTTTTTTTTTTAAAGTGATTCCAGTTTTTGGGGATTTTAACCGCATTAACTGGTGTCATCAGGGTTTAGAAACCACAACCACCGGTGAAATAGATAAATTTCATATTCCATTTCCATTCCATTTCATAATACAAAATGTTTGAAGTTTTCTATTTTCAGAGAAAGGATTTTTGATGATTTAATTCCAATCAATAATATATTTCATTCATATTTAATTTAATGCTGTCACAAAAATTCCACCTGATATGATGAAAAGATAATAATTAAATATTACAATTTTATTCTGATGAAATGTCAGTTAATCATACTTTGAAATATAAATATTAATTGGTTTTTTTTTTGGTAATAATCATTAACATTATTCCGTGACTTTATAAAAATGTAATAAATATTCATAACATGTTTTAAATGTCATAATTAAATATTTTCCGCCTCTTTAAAAGTAATCCATTTGTGTGCGCTCTGTTATTCTTTCATTAAATTTCGGTTTCCAGTTCAAGCCTGATGATATAATTGTTTTGCCAATGGAATTGGTATTGAGATTTAATAAAGCGGATAATTCGTGGCAGGCCGTGTCCACAATATGGATTGGCCTTTTGCCAGCCAGCGATGAAGATGATGGAGGGAGATCGAGTGGGACGCAGATGTTGGTTCTTGACAAATGAATGTAGAGCATGACGGTAACATTTTAAAATGTTTCGCTTCTCGTTCTTGTTTTGTTTGTACTCCACGTCGGGCTTTTCATTTAACGTGCATGTGTGTACGTGTCTTCTCTGGGAAAACAAGAGGAAAGGAGCTTGTGCACTCGACTTGAAAATGTGTCTGAAAATTTAAGACATTGTGCAGCATTCGAGAGAGAATTCAATTTGATTCTCGGAAACTTGGGGCTTGAGCCAAAAACTTATAATTTAAATTACGAAAAAGTTTCTCATTTCAATGGGAGCTTAGCTCTAATTAAATTGCTTTGCCTGCCTGCAAAAGTATGCTATAAATAAAGCGGAAAAATGAAAGAACATTCCACTCACCGTTTGTCCATTGCAGTTATCCATTCCATAGCCATGTTTGGTTTTTCTTAATTAAATTCCGATTTGCGCGATTAGTTTTGTCGTTTTAAAAATTAATATAAATTATTAAAAGCACATTGCTCTGGCGCGCCGCAACTTTGAGCAGAAAACATAAATCGAAGCGGAGGGAGAGTCCAAAGTTGTGCAAATTAATGCCGCATTGCGGGCCAGGAAAGCGAAATCAAAATACCGGAAAATGGCGGCCTCTCGCAGTCACTTTGTCGTCACCTCAAATCGCGATGTTGCCTTCAATTTGCGATTCCCTTTGAGTGGGAGCACGCCATTCCAGTTTTTGCAGCCCTTTCAGACGGCTTAGACCAGCATCGCACTCGAAATCCGCTTTTCGGAGCGACAGAGCGAGTGCCTTTCAAGTTTGGGCCAAAGGGTAAGCGAACGTAACTTGTTGATTAAGCGAAAGTTCCGAAATAGATTTGAATTTGAGTTTCCGCCGGCTGACGCTGGGGATTCCGTGCAGCTGCAAAGTTAAATGGGGCAAATGTGAGTCTGAGCTTGCTGTAGACCAAAAACTAAATTCCAAATTCAGTGCAAAGTAAGTGTAAGCTAGCCTTGGGCTTCTGCAAATGGAATCTAATATAATTTATATAGAATGCCAAAAGCAGATGTAAAAGTTTTCCTCTTTCATGCATTTTTTTCAGCTACAAACTAATGTGGATTGCTATTGTTGGACTTGCCAAAAAGGGTTTTCCCAGCGTCTAACGTCCCTCTGCCGACTGCTGACAGCTGCCCAGAAGGCCCCAGTGTGTGTAGACTTGTGGGTATCTGTGTCCCCCAACAAAAGCAAATGTTATGAATAAGCTTTGATGCGAGCACCGACGGCAGAGGAGATGATGTGGCCAGAGGGGCTGAACCAACAAACTGTCGAGGCTCTAATCTAACAATAGTTTCCGAGATAACAATAGATTACTCCACACACGGCGTATACTTAATGCGCTGTCAATGGGCATACTGATTTCCCAGAATACCAAAATCCAGATCATATAGCATACACGATCTCCGCCCGAAGCAACCAATTGTTTACCCATTCGCTTCACTATCTAAATAACCAATATAATGGCTGCGTATTTTATTTCTGCGTCAATGGAAAACCATTATTTATGCCACTCCATCAGAAGTGCAGTGTCATTCGTGCAGGAAGAACAATTACACGAGTGTCGGCAAGATGAGCCATCAGTTAAGGTATGAATAATTAAGTATACGCCACCTTGGCCAGCGAAGGCGCCCCAATGTATGCCACGTTCTCTGACGTGTCGCTCGCTAGCTGGCTGCACGTATGTAAAATGCGACAAAGGCCCACGGGGAGATAAGAGCGATATTGTCGATATTCCGTTCTGCGTGGGCGCTGACTCGATAAGAGTCCACTATCGGACGTGTTCCGCAAATGGCCGAGTTTCAGCCTTTGCCACCCCAAATGCAATTAGTATCCGGAATGGAGGTAACCCATGAACGAAAAACACTGGGGAAATGGGTTGAGCAAGTTTTGAAATCGCTCAGGAAACAGATGTTTCATGTAATTTCCACTTTAGGGGCTTCAAACTTAGTTTTTAATTAAGCAACCCACTGAAAGCAAAACTTTGAGCAGCCACAATAAATGTGATTTAACTTTCCACTGCAGTCGTTGCTAAGAGAGGAAAACTTAGCCATTTAGCTTGGTCATTGTGTGAGCAATCAAAATGAATCCAAGTACTTACGCATCCTCTAAGCGAAATAAAGGATCAGAAGATGCAAGTAACGGGAGATGCGGGAGAGCCGAACCGAAAAACGAAGTTTCAGAAACTCAAGCCAAAAACCAAATTAGATCTAGATTTAAGTTTCCAGTTATCACGAAAAAGCAACGAAAAATTCACTGATAACGCGAAACACCGGAACTTAACGAATACTAAAAACCGAGCTGACTTAAAACCGGATATTGAAATCAAGCACTTTTTTAAATGTTCTCAAGCACTTGGTATATACAGTTTTTGGGTAAACATCTCAGTTCTGAACTTCTACTGAACCGCTGGCCCGTCCGTTTCATTTGGTAGTCGCGTCGCAACTGTTTGGCCGATTTCCGATTCCCGACTTCCGAGCGAGGTTCTTTTGGGCTCTCTTCACCACGCTCCTGTCCTGCGCCTCACAGGTGAGTTTCCCGGAGCAGGCGGTGGGCTGTGGGCGGTGGGCAGGAGTCGTGGTGGGTTCGGTTCTGGCCGCCTTGGCTGGGCGGTTTGTTGAAAATTACTCATTGCCGATGACTGCAGTGTTGACGGCTGCGGTGCGGTATTTTTGGCCTTGTTGTTTTGCCACCCCAAGCTCACTCCTCCATTCACATATTTTGGCGGGTTTTTTTAGCAACAAGTTTGACAAATCCTCTGCACAGTGGTACAATTTGTTTAACAAGGTCGTCAAAATTCGTAAAAATCATTTCATTTAGGTGAAAAATTGTAAGTTATTAAAATCTAAAATCTATAGATTTTAACTTTTAAAAAACTTTAATTGGTTTTATTTTTAAATTTATTAAAATTATTTTGATATCTTTAGAAAACCATTACTGGTATTCCATTAGAGTCTATAATAATATTTGAGTACAATTCAAGGACATTATAGCAAACTCTATATGGTCAGCATAAACAAGTTGATTTGTTCTTGCAAAATTGTATAAAAATAGATGACTTTGAAAATATTTATCTAACATCACTTTAAGCGACCATATAGAATATTTAAAGAAACAAATTTCGACTGGGAAATTGGACACCATATTTTTTATTTATCTTAACTATCTAAAGCAAAATTACAATCAAACTCTAAAAACGGGTGAAAAAATTGAACTTATAGTACTATGCCTTTTTTCTTATCATTATGTTAAACTGAAAGTAGGGTTCAAACCTTGAAAATATTTCAAAATTCAGAGTTTAAAGCGTTCTTTAAATTAAGCATGGGGAGGAGAAAACGGCTCTTAGTTCCTTTAAAAATCCCAATTAGTTATTTATTTATCTTCTCGAATATTTTACCTGCCCCAATCAGCATGTTTCGGCAACATTTGTTGCTCGCTCTCCTCTCCATTATTTTTATCCGTGGAGCAACAAACTGTTGAGCGTGATTTTGGTGAGTCGTCGCAGAGGGTGAGCACTTCAACAGGCAAGTGTCCGTCCATTCGGCATTCGGACTGACAGCCCACGACCATCATACACTTGCCTGAAATTGCACATAAAATGGAATCGCAATGCGAAACAATCAACATGTCAATTAAATAATGCACACAGCCGACAGCGACAAAACTACGAGTAAATTTAATGGAGGGGAGTGCGTGGACATTCGGACTTTGGGACATTTGGACATTTTCGTGACGGTTTGTCACTGGCAGGAAAATGAATCAACCGATTCACTCGTGTGTTTCACCTGTAAAGGTACGAAAATGCAAAGCGTTTCTTTTGTTTTCCGCCCTGTTTTTCGCACTTTTTCCGGACGCCGTTGCTGTGGTCGCTGCCACAATATTTACGGCACTCTCGAGTGCCTTTATTTCCGCATGAATCATTCCCAGTTTCAGTTCCAGCTCCACAGCCTGCCCACAACGCGTATAAATTCTTGGCTCTTCCTTTTGCAGTGGGTGCACAGTGAGGAAAAACTTTGATATTGGGTGTATTAATGAGAATATAGGGGAGTTACAAAAGTATTTTTAATTCGAAGATCAAGTTAAATGAAGTAAAAACAAATTAATTTCTTAAGTTGTATGATATAATTAGTTTTTCCCCATCTAATACAATATTTTTCCCTGTGTTATAGATGTACTTTTGCTTTTTCATGGTGTCTGCCTGTCGCATTTTTTATGAGCTCGCCCCATGTCGACAGGACCATCATAGACATTTTTTCGGGCCGGCCATTCTAGAATGAAATTCCAGGAATTTTACGGCCGCTTTGCCTGTTGAATATGTCATCACTTGGTGGTGGCAGTTCGGTTCCTGTTCCTCGTCCATCAGTTGGCAGACAGAACAGCCCGACGGGTCGGTAATTATGATAAATGCGTTCTTAATAAACTCCGCTGGTGGGCGCGGCTGACTGGCGTTAAAGAGCTCGTCGGCTCAAGGCGACGGAGATCCTCCGTCAGACTTAATGCACTTTCCCTCCATTTCCATCGGCCAACGCATTGTGGCACCTTTACTAATGGCGCTTCCTGTCTCCCTGTCTTGGCCATTAGCGGAAAAGGCTGTTGCACATTGATCGACCCGACAACATTAACGTTGTTTTCAAAGTCCTTCTCGCCGTGGATTTTCCCGGGCACTCCGTCAGTTTGGCCAAAGCCAAAGCAAAAGCCGTTGGTACGTGTTTATGGCCCGATTGCACTGGGCCCCCACCTGCTGATGTCATTAGTATCAGGAGTCGCATGTGGGCGGGACAAGTCGTTACACTTGCTCTTTAGTTGCATTAACGGTTATTCAATCAGCGTTTAACGCAAATTGGCTATTAAAGCTGCCCCGAGTTCCTGTCCCCCAATCCCCCCGGTCACGCTTCATGCAAATGTTTGCGTATAATGGCCAAGTAATTTGATTAGCTGATAAATGAGGTAACGCTAACACACGTGCATGCAGGAACACACGGGTTATTGGCCATGTTATGACTAGCTAATAAGGCTCTCGCCTACATTATACACTCAGAAAAAAAATCGCCCTGAATTTTAGAAAATCGCCATACTTTTTAAGCCAAAGGCAGCTCGCCTTGCCTTTTAGAAAAAATATTTCTAAAAATTAGAAAAAAAATTTCTTAAATTTAGGGTTAGTTTTTGCAAAATTGAATAAGAAGAAGAAAAAAAAAATCGGGGAATCGGGAGTTATGCCGACTGGGTGGAGTCTGTCGGTGTGGGGTGTTGTTGTTGGGGTTCTCGTTTTTCAACTTATTTTTCTCTCCTCTATTTAAACACATGGATGACGTCACGATGCTTGTACACAAACACACTTTTAATCTTTAATTGTAACTGAAATAATAACTGAAATTATTATATTATTTATTAATGATAAACATAAAAATCAAATAACTTACTATCTTGAGAAAACCATTTTGGTCGCTCGCGGGATTCGAACCCCTTACCTCACAGTTTGCAGTCAAACACTCTACTAGCTGCGCCAGGGAAGCATCACGAGAGGCGCTGTACAAAGTACATTCTCATTCTGTTCTCTTGGGTTCTAGGTTTATACTCTTATTTATCCATTATGTGTGTGTTAGCTTACCTAAATCCTTATTTGTATTAAAGTATACATTTTAATGCGCAAAAAAAAAAAAAAAAAGGACGCAAAAAATGTCCGCCTCGACGTGGGATCGAACACACGCTTCCGAATATAAGCGTAGAAAACAAATAATCCGCTCGCATTAGACCCCTAGGCTACCGATTGGGCCAATTTTCTAAAATGTAAGGCGATTTTTTCTTAGTTTGAAAGAAAAATTTCTGAATAACAGAAAATTTTTCTAAAAGTGGATAACAAGAGGAGTTGATCTAATCAGGGTAAGTTTTTCTTATTATTTAGAAAAATATTTCTGAAAAATAGAAATATTTTCTGAATTTCAAGGCGATTTTCAAAGTATGGCGATTTTCTAAAATTTAGGGCGATTTTTTTTCTGAGTGTAGTTTCAGCAAATTCCCATAGCTACACATTGCTGTGTAGTATACATCTGGGAACAACTTAAGTCACTCTTTGTGCGGATTTCTGGGTACTTGTATTGAATAGCTGTTTACAAGAACCAGAACAAGGAATTACATTTCCATAATCTCTAAGCTTATGTTGTAAGTTCATTACCTAGAATTTAACTCAGGTGCCTTAAACGACCTTAAAATGTGCCTGGCATCCACACCTTTACAGATTTTGTTAATGTGTAAATGCAATTTTCATTGTAATTTAATTTTAATACCAAATCTAGTACAAACTTTTTAAATCGGACCAATCATTAACGAGTTACGAGCAAATAATGCAATTTCCGCTAGGTGGCGCCAATTCAAGCGACTGCCTAGCTGCTTGCATATCTCCATCTCTCTCTTACTCGTTTAGCTAAGTAGCTCTTGCTTTTAAATAAATTTTAATAATTTACAACAGAAACTATGTAAAACCATCCTTATTTAAGCTTTTTATCTCTTATTCGCTATAATTGTTCGTAACTAAACAGAACGTGGTGCTCTAATGTAAACACTAAATTTGCACTAACGACAATCCCTGCCAAATCCCCGCAAATCAAAAGTTAATAGACGCAATGGAGTCTCTGTCATTTGCATTCAACCAAAAACTTGATTATCCGCGCGATTTGCGTGGCGCAATTGTGGGAGGACAGCCATCAGAGGATCAGAGGAGGGAATGTAGATGGGAATGGGCCAACTGTGTGCTTAATGAGCTCAGTGAAATGTGTGCTTAAAATTAACTTTTAGCCAACAAACTCGTCGCAGCAAATTGTCCCCGTTGCCGTTGCCGTCGCCTCGGTTGCTTTTAGCAGCTGTTGCTCAGCCAGACAACTTTCATGGCTCAAATTACGCATTCAATTCGGCAGGCAGCTCCGGCTGAAGCTCAAGCTCAACCCGACGAAGGGTTTTCTCGGTTGCCCGAGACTGCTTTAATAATTAAGTCTCTTGAAAATCAAGACATCGTGTCGGACAACAAAAGTCCCAGAGCAAAGACAAGTGGGGGTTTTACGTAGGAGGTCCTTGAAATTGTGCGAGAGGGGATTTCGCCAGGGGTCGACTTGCTGGCCATGTCATCTGCAAGCCAAC